ACACACACACACACACACACACACACACACACACACACACACACACAAAGTGTACCTACATTCATGCATACATTTTTCTTCATGCTGTCATACAAAACACATACAAATATTTGACAGAGTGCTCCCATGAGTCGCATGTAGTACAGTACAAGAACACAGATCAGGTAGCATCTAGACTGTATGACACTTGCTCGTTAATATGACTGTTATGCATGCATGTGTGCATTCACGATGACTTGGGTAAAGTATGATGCCACCGCACAATGTTCACATGCAAATGCAGCTGAATAATCCGTTGCATGGCACACATTGACATCACTAATATTGGCGCCTTTTCATTGAATAATATTTGCTGATCTAAGCGTACAGTCTGGCTTTATTCAAAATTGAAGTGTCAAGTGATTAGAAAGGATGAAAAAAAGAAAAAAACCACAATACCTTCATATGTTGTATTCATTTGATCAAGCATTTTTTCATGGATGGCCAAATCCTAGAAATAGCAGCATATAAAAGTGTTGATAGTTTTTCCATACATTTGATGACACTGTACATATACAGTATGTATTTTGTTAGCTGCATATAGACTGATAACCCATCAGACTCACCCTGATCATTCTCCATATGTCCTGAGAGTCTGCTTTTGTTGCAGGTCGAATAGCAAAGTTCATGATTGCAGCAGCCAGCTCATTTTCTGGATTGACTGCATCTGCCTGAAATGTTTTTATACTGTACAGAAGGTTTTGCAGGAAAAGGGCCTGCCCACAACAAGCCAGTGTAACCTTCAAAGTAAGATGTACAGTAAATCTATTTTTTTTACACCAATGCTTTTCTGCTTTCTTGTTCCATTTCTCTCAACATGAACTCATCTGATTTTAGTGGTCAACAAGGTATTTTTTTGCACATGGAACCACTGCTCACTGCAAAGCCCCGCTTTTCATTAGTTCCTACAAGCACACTCATAAATTTATTGTGAAAGGGGTTTCTTTCAAAACTGTTATATATTGAAAAGGCAAGAATCTTGCCCACGTTGGATACATATGATCGATCTTTACAGCATGTGGTTTCCATCCATTGTCCAACCAAGGCAAGTATTTTACATGACAAAGAATATCTCACAGCACTCCTTAAAAACTGTCACAGGTTAATTGTACCTTCCGCCATCTAGTGCAAGAGGATTTCCTTGTTCTGCTTATCACTCTACATCACTTAACCAGTCCCTAACAATTAAAACAATCTTCCAGAAGATGGCACAAGGCCTGACTGTTTATAGTGTCCTTGAGATACTTACTTGAAATGTGTCCCTTGGTATGACGAAGATTGGAAAAAACAGTCTTGAAGATCTATTATATGTATCAAAAACTGCGTAAATTTGCCTTTCCAGTTTACACGTTAAAAAAAAAAAAAAAAAAAAGTTTCACAACAACGTTATTATTGTGGTTGGAGTTTTAATGCAGGGGTGCAGAACTGCACTGCACCAAACTGACAGCTCTTTATATTTGGACACTAGATTGACCAAAATATTCAACAGACATCTCAGGATGATGGTGCACTGTCCAACATTAACAATTATATAACTGCTTTTACGTAGTTGTTTTTTCCCCCCTCTGGTTAAGAAGACTGAAAGTGAAAACGCGGGTCACACACTTCTAATTTTGTCAAGCTTCATTTGCCAGACGGTCTAAGCTTACCCCATCAAAATTTAATAAGTGCCAGCCTTCCTTGACCGTGAGGTCCTGAGCTCCTCTCGTAGCAAAGAAGTCTCGAGAAGGAGCATTCCAGTCAACGCAATCACTTGCAACTGCACATAGTGCTTCTCTTTGGCCACCTGCACAAACATGAAAGAGCTTTAAATAAGGCCTGCAAAGATCCGGTCATGATGAGACCCTATCCAGCCTGTTTGAAATGTCTTCCAATATCATACAGTATTAATTTTGTACATAACATCAGTTATTATCATTATTGTAACAGCAGAGACGTGAAAAATCCAGTCCTATGATTTCCACTGACTGATTATCAAGACAATTACAGTATATAGCTTGTCACCAGTGTACCTTCAAGCATTCTTAACTTCGCAAAATTGCTCAGTCAACTTTTTCCAATGCCAAATCTTGATGAAGACATCAATAAACTGATAAGGCAGAAAACAATTTCAGTCCAAAATCCAAAGCCTACACAAAAAGGAACATGATTGTATCGTGGTATAAGGGCTTGCGACTGTAGTACGAATTGACTAAAAATGTAAAACTGCATTTACAGACTGGAAACAAAGCTGTAGCTTTAATAATAACCCCATATCTTCCATGTGTACAGTAGATTTTTAGAAAAGGATTTCAATCCTCTCGGTCTTAAAGGGTCTCAAGCTCTCTCTGAAAATATGGATAGCATTTATTGACTGCACAATATACTTTTCATCAAGAGCACAAATTGAATGTAAATTCAGTTGTAACGCAAGTAGAAATCAACAAATATGACTTAAGGCGTAGTGATGCTTTACTGATCACACTGTAACATTTTCTTCCTCTGAGTTCTGGCATCACATACACATCCTCCAAATCAGTGGACAAGCAATGCCGTGATCATCTGCAGCCAGTGATGGCCAAGCGGGCGTGTCATAGCTAATTGACGTGTTGAGTCACGTGTGTCTTACCCTCCATGGCAGAGGCTCCGTCGAACCCCTGAGACCCAGGTTAAGAACCGGTTATATATATATATATATATATATAGGGAGAGAGAGAGAACTTTATTTTTAAAAAGGGCCAAAATATATTTACCAACATTTCTTAGGAGATTTTGACATCAACATGAAGCACGCACTCTTTACCTACTGTGGACATTTGTAGAGTCTTCTCATCAAAGATTCACACCTTGAATTCCTTGCAGCCTTTTTGAGGGAAAGTGACACTTTCATGCTATGATTCGAAATAATCCGCGTCAAAGGTACTTGTTTGAGTCGGCAGAATGTTCCAAGGAGTCACACCTATTGCAAGAACACGTGTGAATTTAGATGAAGTTACTCTGCATTATGCAGTTTCACACTGCATAAAATCCCCATACACAACTATCACACGTATACGCGCGCGCGCGCACACACACACACGCACACGCACACACACACACACACACACACACACACACACACACACACACACATACAGAGTGAGATGCAAATATCTTCATTAATGTCATTAGTGGCTCCTTTTCATTGAAAAACACGTTCAGAGGTAAGTTTAGTGTGTTCACTTGGGTGCTTTATTTGCTTTGTATGCGAAATATTTATGCATTGTCAATATGCATTGACAATGTTGAAATGACAGGGAAAGCATGAAGAAGTGCACTTTCAGTGTGTGCAGTGGGGAAACTTGCAGAGAAACTTTTTGGAAGTCATTGTCTTTGTGGCATTACAGATGGCAAAAACAGCTACATTTTCAACAAATTCAGCTACTGCAAGCTAGCCAGCGCATGAATAGGATACTGCATGTGCACCGTGTCAATTACTTTTCCCCAAATACACTTCTAATTTTGTCGGGTTTCATTTGCCAGACGGTCCAAGTTTTGTCCATCAAAATGGATGACGTGCCAGCCTTCCTTAACAGTGATATCCTGAGCTCCTCTCGCAGCAAAGAAGTCTAGTGATGGAGTGTTCCAGTCCACCACATTCAACTGCAACCATGCACCCTCCTTCTCTTTGGCCACCTGCACAAACAAGGCAAAGCTTTATAGTGACCATCCACCCGATGTTCTTTCTCCACTAAGCACATGGAGCAACACAGAAATAAGTTGATTTTGTTCTTTTCTCCACTCTCTCAATTTGTCAACAACAGTCAACTTTGAAGCATTCTTACCTTTGCAACATTGCTCAGTAAAGCTTTTCCGATGCCAAATCCTGAGAAGACAGCGACAAACTGATGAGGCAGGGAATATTGTATTTCAATCCAAAACTTAAACCCCCTCAAAAAAAAATTTAAAAAGAAAAAAAAAAGACTAAATCTAGTACTGACAAAGACTTGTCGTTGTCGGTATTTGCTGACACTCCTGACTTTCACAACTTGGAAACAAACGGGTTTGACAATGAGCCCTATGGGATGCATGAAAGTGCATTTTACGTTGCGTGTCAGAAATAGGCTTTGTATATGTACTTCAGAAAATATGGTTGACATTTATTGACAAAACAACAACAGTGCACATTTTTCATCAAGAACAAGCACAAATTGAATGTAAATTCAGGGATGATGCATATCTGAGGTTCAGACCAATAAGAATCAATACTTACTGTTGATTCTCAATGTTTTTGTCATGTTTTCTGTTGTATTATTATTATTTTATGTTAATCGTTCTGAAAAGCGCTTTGTTACACCCGCGGGCTATTGTGAAAGCGCTATACAAATAAAGATGTATTGACCTTCGTGAGGATAAGCGGATCAGATAACGGATGGATAGATTGTGTTGATAATGCGGAAAAACTTTTTACCTCTGAATTCTGGCATCACATAAAAATGATCCAAATACACGGACTGCCCCTTCCATGTGTCGTACATGTCAAAGTAAAGGGCACATCCAACAGTTGTGAATCCTAAAGTGGAGACGATCATCAAAAACAGCTTCAACAAATAAAGTGGATACAATACAACTGCAAGGTTTTTGAGGTGACAGGCAGGTTACAAGGATGGAAGCATTTTACCTTCTTTAGACTTATGTTCATCTGGCACCACTGCAACAAAACACTCAAAGCAGGGATTCTGTTTGAAACCATGGTGTTGCACTTCTGAAGTTAAATTAAAAAAATAAAAATAATTAAATGAATAAACAATTCGTCATTGCACTGTCGGTAAGCAAGAATGCGAGAAAAGGCGAGCAGGCGTTTGTATCCCACCGAAGCAGAAAGGGTTCATACAAAATGTCTTTTGAGCTGTTTGCGTGACCCTCACCTGGGGGCAAACACTCAGAACATTTCACCGGGGGTGGGGTTGAACATTCTAAAACATTTAAAGATCAAAAACCTAAAAAATAATCAAAATGTGCAAATATCTTACCAAATACAACATAATGGCTTAGATTTATGGTATACAATGTGATGTTTTATTATGATGATGATTATTATTATTATTGCTATGTTAGGTACCAGCGTAGTTAACCGAGATGCAGTCAAGCGCATATACTGTAAATGTACTGTCTGGCTGTATTCGGCATAACAGGATAAATAAGAGGAATTAAAGCCATTCATTTAAGTAGTCTGTTAGGTCAAGTGAAATGCATTTTGAAAAATAATACCTTCATATGTCTGTATCATCTGGTCGAGCATTTTTAGATGGGTCGCCAAATCCTAGAAAAAGGAGCACATAAGCGGTGATACTTTTGTTTACACTCTTGATGTATTTTATGTCAGCTACATATAGTTTGTGAATCCATCAGACTCACCCTGAGCAGTCTCCATATGTCTTTAAAATCTGCTTTTGTTGCAAGTCGAATAGCAAAGTTCATGACTGCAGCAGGCAACTAATTGTCCTGAACTAAATGCACCTTTCCGCGATCGGGAGATGTCTATAAGTACATTGCAACCAGGGGGAGGTGCAGAATATAACATTTACATATAGTGAGAATTTTTTTTTTTGGGTCAAATCCGCCCTTGGTATGTTCTCGTTCACATTACAAAACAGCATCCTCTAGCTGGTCCGTAATGTGTCACGCATGGGCCTAATAAACTTTATTTTCATACTGTATGCAGTATGTTTACAATATCAAGGTCAAATAGCTAGTTTACACTTAAAATCTGCCTTTAATTCCTCTTATTTATCCTGCAAGTCCAAATACATCCAGACAGCTTGTAATTTGACCAATAACATTTTAAATTCACGAGTCGAACTGTGCAATGTCTACTTTTTGCAGTACTTGGTGTTCTCTAAGAAGCTGAACAGAGAAAAAAAGAATCACACAAATAGAATACTTTTTCTTCAGGACTTTCACTTTTTTTCCAGTCTAATATCGCTGTTGCAACTTGCCGATGGTACCCGAAGCTCAGGGGACACTTCCCTTTGAAAACATCTTGTCTGAAGCCTCGCGACAGTGAAGTGCTGTTGATTATTTGTTAGGCATCATTTTGGTCAAATGACAAAATGTCAACAGTACGATTAGGACTATTTAAATACTCGTACAAGTATCAGTGTAAACAAAGTAAGATATTAGAGCCTGGATATCACAACGCAAATGAGGACAAATAAATACGTTACTTTGACTCTTCAAATATACCATTTGAATGTTAATTGTGAACTTGTCCTTATCACCGTTGGCTTTGCTTAGGGGAAGGGTGAGGAGGCATTAAATCTAAATGGCAAAAATTACTGTACAATTGAAACATCCACACGTCAACAAGTAGGAATACAAATACAAAGTGAAATTTTATTTTTGAGTAAAAATAAAAATTAAAAAAAGCATGAAATCAATTGGAACTGAGGAAGAAACTGTGACAGATTGCCTCTTGTGTGGCATTCGTATATTTACAGTGTATGATTAAACACCTGCCTTTGCACCATTTCGAAGTTTTCGCGTCAACCCCAAACACAGTCCTTGAATGCATGTTAAATCTCCAGTAAAAAGTGTCAGTGTGGCGACTGTGTGCTCGCACCGGGAGACTCTGAACGGTCCGTCTTCCCCGTCGGTTCTAGTGTGGTTGAGATGGGTGTTGGGATTACAGAACCCTTATTCTCCATGGAAGAGTTGGATGAGGGAAGTGATACCACTATGTACTTCTGCATGGGTCGCGAACCGGGGAGTGTGGGGCCACTTCCTGGTTCTACTTTTACCAAGGGCTGCAAGGTTGACGTGGCACTGGGTACGGTGCTTGTAACCGTTGAAGCAGACTGGGAAGAGTTGATGGTGATTACCTGCTGGGGAAATGATACAAATACAAATGAATGCTTGTATACTGTAGTGCTGTAAAATGAGTTTGAAATTCTACTAAATTCTTTTTTGGGAGGGAGCATAGTTTGTAGTTGGATTTTAAACCATATAGAGACAATTCTAAAACATTTTTACTCGCGCTAATAGCAGCAGGGCTCAGTTCCCGCCCTCATGAAGCGTGAGTGGTTACTGAAACCACATTTCTACTGTTTTCGAGACCACTTGAGTCTCTATAAAGGCAACTGCGATTGCTACAAAATGTAAATGTACCTGCTGCGTTGAGGCGGATCCTGCGCTGGTTCCCATGACGATATACTTGGTGGCAGGGGGCGATGGCTGTGATGGGGTCCCTGGTCTCGGCGACATCAGGGTGAGGGAGCTTGGAACTTTAATGATACTGGGAGTGCGAGGGCCTGTTGATGCACTGAGTCCACTTTGTGAGACAGAGAGGGTCGGACGAGGCTGCAAGGCAAACAGTCATCCATTGTCAGCTAGTCTAACATTTTATAGTATGCGTTAGCATTCAGCTAGTAGAAGTTCGTAAGAATACAAAACATGGCGCCGCTGCATCGTCAAATGTCAGTGTACCTGTGTGATTGTTAACGTTGTTCTGTTGACTTGCTGAGCTTGCATTGCAGCTTGAGTCCGAGCCTTCATTACATGGGAGCACAGCATGGGTGCGAGGTAACCATAGTCAATCCGATATTGTTCCACGTTGTCAGGTGGAGGTCGAATCTTGGCAATGACACTGGCACAGTGTTTCTTGGAACACAAATATTTTCCATTTTATGAATTTAAAAACAAACATAAGCAGTAATTCACGTAAAACCTATGACTATGATGTTAATACCAGTAGAAGACTTTGAACATGGTCCGCTCCAATCTTATCAATGTTGGAGATCACCGGTCCTTCCATCACTGCTTTGATGCGAGCGCCCTCTACAGCAAGCCGAGGAAGGATCAACGTTTTGATCACCTTTAGGGACAAAGGTGGGAGAGCTGTGCTGATGTAACACGAACAATGTTCAAGAAACCAAACCAGGAACCCGGCCGAAAACTCACATCAGGTCCCAGTTCAGCAAGTCCAGCGATGCAACCGTATCGCGTTGTCCACTGGGTTTTGTCATCCAACCAACTCTGAAAAACACAAATCAAGTTAAAAAAAAAAAAGCGTGAGATTTTTTTTTTTTTTAATTTGCACTCATAAATAATAATCGATGTTATTACCACCTCACTTTTTTTTTTTTTTTTTTAGTTGGGGGAGTGGGCCTGTATAGTTGAATAAGGAAGATGTTCAGCAGACGACCATGCAATTGTTGTTACGATTGACTCATCTGTAGTTATTTTAAAATGAACATGTCGTGTTTAAATGTTGATCAGAAACTATTATTTTCCAATTGAAATGTTTTGAAATACCATTAATGTGTTCCAGTTTTGTGTTACCATTTTTGATGACGAAGAAAAATAGCGCAGCACTGTGTAAAACATAAAGAGAATTTCACGGAATTAACTTGTTTTATAAAATCTAATTGTCCTGTGTGTATGTCCGAGTTGTAGTGTAGTGGATGTGTGCCTATAAGGGGCGTGGCCTCGAACGTGAAATCAGGTACAGTACTGGAGTTAGAGTTTTTTTTTTTTTTTTTTTAGTTGGAGGAGTAGGCCTGTATAGTTGAATAAGGCAGATGGTAACTGCATAAGACTTTAGGAGTAATAGATTCTCTTCTTAGCAGCAGCCATCTCGCTTGTATTTGAACTGTCTTCTTGCATGCAGGTTTTCATTGCCTTTCATTTCATTTTGCTGGTTCTTTTGTCCTGCCCCCTGTCGACTAAATAGGCTACATTTACTCATGACAATTACATGTAACTATTTCAATGCCGCTCCTGCTTTTTGTTTGTACAGTACTCTGTTATTTGCACAACCTGAGTGCGTGTGTGCGTGAATATTGCTGCTGTGACAATATTGGTTTTTGGGATGAAATATCTATCTAATGTGTTTCTTGAGGGAAAACAGACGTCTAGTTGAGGTCTGCCATGGGTTGACATGCCGTCTATGAGCACATTTTGAGGAAGTACAAGTAAAAAGTAAATACCACTTTTAGAACAGACAAAACCTGCTCTTTTAAAATGAGCATAGTGGAATAAAAAAGTCACCTTAGTAAAAGTCTTGGTGATGCGAGACTGGATGTTGTTGGTTGTGGTGCTAAAGGTTTTGCAACTCTGCGCCATAAGGCGAGCGGCAAAGTCCCGTAAAGCCCAGTGGTTGTCAACGTCTGGTCTCAAACACAACTGCTTGCTCACGATACATGTCACCACAGCCGGAATGAGCTCATGCAGCTACAGTGGAAATAACAACAGAAAAAAATGACCATAAAACAAAACAACGTAAGTACATAGTACGTCCCAACTAATAATAAACCGTGGTTCCTTTTACTCACATATTTCTCCAGGTATAACGTGGGGTTATCCATCAGTGCTTTGACCATCCGCATGAGGTAAATCAGCAGAGCCAAGTTGTTTTGCACCACATTAACACGAACCTACCGCAAGATCAAAACGAGAGCATTTACAAGCTAATAAAACTGAAAAACTATGTGACAGGAGTTTTAAAAGATACTCACTCCTTCTGAAATAAAGGTGCTGAATCTTGGAAGCATCTGATACAGTCCCGGGTCTGTGGCAATACTTTGCAAGGCTTCCTGAATGGCAAAACATAGAGCAAATAAATGATTCCTAATTGATTTTAAAGTTACAAATTCATTACAAAGTCACACAAAAGTAAATTGTTTCTCTGCATGTAACGTGCTGAATGAGAGTTTATCATACAATTAACATTTTATGTCAAGTTGTTATCTAGGTTTTGGTGAAGATGAATAGTAATGTACACACAGCTCTCTTGGCTTCACAGGATCCCACGCATGCTTCAGTGATCTCTTTGTAGTAGAGTTGTTGTTCCACAGAAAGCTCATGCGTGCTGCGAGGTTTCAACCTGATGGGACCCTTCTCTTTTCCTGAAATGGATATACTCAGAATGAATAAAAGACAGTTTCAAAGAAAATTACCTTTTTATGGGAGGAATTAAATGAACGTCACATTTGAATATAAAAACTAAATCGTGACCTTTGCCATCAGCAGCCGGTGCCCCCTGAGTTTTGCCTTGAATGGTACCATCTTCCTCCTGACCGGGTTTGACAACTTTGAGGGGCTCAGTGGATTCAGCTTTTTGTTGTTCTTTTGGTGCTACAAAGCAGTGCATTGGAAGTAAGTCATCATCTTTCCCCATCATTTTTAAATTACATTGTGTTTCAAGACAGTCTTACCTGGTGGTGGATTTTCCGGAATAGAAGGTTGAATCCCCTCAATACTTAACCAATGGGCTGAAAGAAGTATAGCAAAAGGACAAGACTGAGGAAGATTCACTCGAGTAAGACAGTAAGAAAAAATATTTGGTATACCTTTAAGAGACACATCCAGAGGAACTCTGGGGAGAGGTGTGTTAATAATATCACTCAGGTCCACTTCCTTCTCCTCATAAAAATGAAGCTCTCTGCCGCCACCACTTGCAAAACGAAAAGGGATAAACTCTTGCGACTGGAATCCATAGAGGGGCTACGAAGAGCAAAATCTACTTAAAATACATAATTTACACAAAAAATGTTATCAAATTTAGTGGTTTCATATAATAAGCATATTCTCCTCCTTACCTCCACATTTTTAAGTTTGAGGGCATTATCAATGTCACTGGTGGTTAGTTTACGCCTCTTCCCATGATGCATGAATTTAAGAGCATCCTTAAAAAAAAAAAAAAAAAAAAATTATTGCATATCGCTTGACAATAGTGACACCCACAAACGTTTTAGTGTTTTGCCTCACATCTCTGTGGTGTACCTGTGTAATTTCTTTAATTCTGTAACTGACTTCTTCACTTAGGGCTGTGCAGCTATCCTCCTGTAACTGGCCCACTCCCACCGACTCTGCCATTGCCTTCATGGACTCTGTAGGGAGGACTACCGAGCACTGCTTCTGACGCCTTTCCTCTGCCATCACTAACAAAATACACAGTTTGTCAATTCAATACATTTCATGTGCAACAAATCATGATTAAGGACACATGCATAACGCAAAGTTCAGAGAGAATGGGAAAAGGTCGGACTTCAACCTCTCATTGTGAAGTGCAATGGATTGATCATAATTGAGGGAAAAGCCCAAATTATGGTAATTTATTCAAACATTGACCACTTTAAACAGCGTATACAGCTTTTTTTTACACATCTACTCATTGGTTCGTACTCGGAAATGAAACCATAAAGTTCTGATAAACATACAAAAGATAAATTATGTTCAGGGATACTGTTAAGTTGTGAAGTGAAAAGAAGGCGGGCAAATCGCTCTAACGGAGAGAAGAAACGAGCCATTGACTTCACGTACATCAACGCTGTACCTCAAACGGCTCAACTTAAAAAAACAAACGTAAAAAGTACATCTAATTCGTATGTGGTGTTAATTATGAGGTTCTAGCAGGCTTGAGAAAACAGTTGTGTGTTAGCCAGGAAGCGAAGGGACTTAGCTTAAGTGGAGAGTTTTCAATTTACCTGTATAAAACGTTTTCCTTTCGGGTGCGTAAGCAGTAACTTACACGAATATGAGCACTCACTGTTGAAATATGCAACTAGACATTTTACGCAAAGCTAATCTTTAGCTATAACACTTCACTCTCAGTACAGATAACAAGGCAGACCGCGGACAGCAACAGGAACCTCCATTCGTGATGGAGCGCTTGTGTTCCGTCGCCATTTTGAGACAACTTCCGGTCGTGTTATCGCGAGACTACCGTACGTCACTGGACAGAGCAATGCTCAAGCCGTGTTTTAAAAATATTACAAAAAAGTGTTTATCGATTTGATAAATCTCTGTATATAGATTGTCTCAACTATTCTTGTTGATTTTTATGTGCATTAGAACACAATCAACGTTTGTCGTGGAACTCTTCACCATTCAAGTTGACGGGGAACCGTTTTGCGGTTACAACAGACATAATAAGTTCGGAGCGTGGAAGGACATATTTTGAAATAATCATGATTAGCTACATATCCCGCACCTTGCATGTAGCTCATAATTCATCATTTAATATATCTGGGTCGCGTATTTCACTAATAGATTGTAACACGGCTACCTTTTCAGTTTTAAGGTAAGTTGCTTTTTTATAATTTTGACGACACTATTCATCCAAATGAATACCATTTTCACTTGTAATAAGCTACATATGTTCAGTGCGTATGCATCTAAACTGTTAAAAGTTACTGATGAATTGCAGCCAGTGGCTTGTTACTGATGATACCGCAATGTTTTTGCTCTTCTCTTAGGGGGTCCAGTGTTTGTACGACAAAATACTTCAGCACAAGCTCAGTCAAATTGGGTGAAAATGCACACAACTCCAATAATGCAGATAAAGGGCCTGATCCCACAGAAACCAAAACAGTGAATGAACAACCAACCCAAGAACCCAGTGAAGTCAAACTTCATGAGCCAAATCATGGCGACAACGTAAAAAAGAATTATGACGTTAAGGGAAAAGAAGTTTCGCCTGTTGCAGCCAAGAGTGGGAAAGAGAATCTACTTCATCTTCTGCGAGCCATGAAGGTGGATGTCACCAGCAAGAGGAGGTTAAAAAACGAGAAAGTCAAGCAAAGTCTCTCCCAGTCTCAGTCCACACCAGCTTTGAAGAGCACCATCAGCATGTTTCAAAAGGCTTCAGAAGAGGCTTCAGCTAAAACGTGAGAGGAGATTTTAATTTTATCGTCATTTTCTAAACTGTTTTTTACTTTTATTTGTCTGGTCACAGCAGCAACACTGCAGTGTCTCTCTATTTATTTTGGATTTTTTTTTTAGCCACTCAGTGGATCCAGAACTGCTTGCAGCCGCTTCCGCTGCTGCTGCCACTCTTCCTAATCGTGTCAATGCAGAGTCTGAGCTGCTCAAGCAACTGAGGCAGCATGAGGCCATCACCGAGGCTCACAAGAAGGGTGACGTGAACAACCTGGGGTACATTAGCGTCAATCCAGCATACATTGCTCTCATCATGTCATCATGTTAGAATTTTACACCCACCGACCACAACATTATGACAAGGTGCACAGTGTAGTAAATCCAATATAAGAGCCAAAAGATAATAATGCCCATACCTGAAATAAAGACTTAAATCTAAATTGGACAACAAAAACAAAAAAATTTAACATCCATATCCACGTACAGGAAGCAGTGCAGCCAAGAAAGAAGCTATAAAATGAAGAGAACAGAATGTCAGGAAAAAAATAATTCCATGAAACAAATATTAGAGTTTAGGTTTGTAAATGTTGTGGTACAGTTGACTGACATAAAACGAAGAATGTCTCAATAATTTCTTAGAGTGATTATAGCTGATATGAAAGTGGGGAGGAATTCCAGTCGACAGAACGCTTGGCCAGCCAATCAGATCCGTTTTGATGATGATGGCCGGGGCTACTCACACGATCGAGGAATCGCTGCAGAGCTGGACAGCGTTCGCAGAAAGTAAGTCGTTTTAATTTGGGACCGATCCTGTCTTCAGGTGATGCAGAAAAGATGCTGATGTTTATTTATTTGTTATTTTAGGAGGAACTTGTTCACAGGGAGAAGACTCAACATTTTCTCATTCACGACTGATGAAGACAAATTGGATGCAACATTTGGTAATAATTTATTTAAACCCACGCAAGCTGGGAGAGAACATACAGACCCTACACAGGAAGGCCAAAGCCGAAGTTTAAACACACAACCTCTCAACTGTGAGGCAGACATGCTCACCACTTGGTCACTGCGCTGCCTTATTCTTATATTATTATACTTTTATATATCTGTGAGGAGCCTATTATTATAACAGTACATTAATCAAACTAGTCCAGTCTTCTTAGTAAAGTCATAGATGAATGTGCTCCTTAATAACGAATCGTTTTGAAATATTAATTGTACTAAATACGGATGTATTCATACCCCACCACAAAATATGTCTCCAAAAAAGACCATTAAATGTAGAGGTTTTTTTTTCCCTCTCCCAATATTTACATAATGCTGCTTTTTAGCCCGACCAACCCTGTGGGACGCCGACTTTGCTAACCAGCTGTCTTCTTCTGCGAACCAAATGCCCCGAAATGCCTTTGAGGAAATGATCCAGTGGACCAAAGAGGGGAAACTGTGGCAGTATCCTATTGACAATGAAGCAGGTGAGTCAATAGCTGCTGTGACGATATAGAGGAAACAATGACGTGTTCTTTCCTTTCATCAGGCCTCGAGGAGGAGGCCAGTGTCCCTTTCCATGAGCACGTCTTCCTGGACAAGCACCTGGAGGAGGGCTTCCCCAGGCAGGGACCAGTACGACACTTCATGGAGCTTGTGGTGACCGGTTTGTCCAGAAACCCCTATCTGACCGTCCAGGAGAAGAAGCAGCATATTTTCTGGTTCAGAGACTACTTTAATCAAAAACAGGATGTGCTCAAAGAGGCTGAGGTCTACCTTAACTAAATTTTGGACAGTGTGATGCAATCTCTGAAACGACACAAAAGGACCATTTTCTCTTTAGGCAGTGCGAACAAAATTGTGTGTAGAAAGTCAAATCATGTAAAAGCTCTTAGATGTAATAAATTGTAAAAAGCAACTGTATTCTAAAAACATGTAATTCACTGTCCTCATTCAGTTTCATTGGAAAGTAGAGGTACAACTAATATTTATGAAGGCTAACAGTCTGAAAGTGTGCAACAGAGGGAAGACTGTCATGTTTTCAGTTGCAGTGGTAACGTCATTAAAATAACATTGTTCATGGGTGTTTGCTAATTATTTGTCTATGGGGTAAATTGGTTGAACCTCTGTGTTTTTAGGGGCTGTTGAGAACCGTCTGTCATTTTGATTGACGATGTTTTGCTTGGCTTGCAGTGAAATAGGTTTATGTTGGCATGTAGCATCAAGGACCTCAGCTCGTTTACAGTGCAAGTTTAAATAGAACTTGAACCATGTGCCCTTTATGAGGAAGTGTTGAACATATGAACAATGAGGCATGCAGTTTCTAAGTGGTCACTCTCTGCTTTATTTACCGTGTGAGAAAGCTTGCCTAAGGCACAGCTTGACATTTGAAAACACTCCCGTTTCCACATTTTGTTCACTTTTCCTTAAACATGTCCTTGAGTGGCATGGTGATGTGTTGGCAACTTGGATAATTGCGGCGCAAATAAGCGTCTCTGTTTATACACCTGGGCCTACACGCAGACAATAATGTTTAGAGTCATGGCTGTAAAAAAAAAAAACGTGTGCAATACAGTGCATTGGTTTTTATTCGTATGCATCACTAGGGGGCAGCACTGGCAAAAGTGACCATTTAAACGGATTCAATATGGACGATACGGCAAAGTAGTTCAACCAAAGTTATCTTATACAGTATTTGACCTTTCACAAGCTATATTGACCAGCAATTAATAACGTCAATCCTTGGCAGTAAATTGGAGATGAAGTATTGTGGGCAATAAATGTAAGAGCTGTTATGGGAGTAATGCCATGCAGACGCATGAATCATAAGTGATATAGCCCCCGAGCCTGTAATTCTTTAGAATGTTGTGATGAAAGTTTTACCTTTTCATTCCTATTAATTTTAATTTTTCCGTTTAACTTCCACTCTTTAATTTTATGATTAAAATTGTTTGTTTGTTAGATTAGTGCACCACTTTTGATGGGATAATTCACAATCAGTTACATTCCTGGAGAACATAACGTGAGTCCTCTCCTCATTTCGCCGAAGAACCCAGATGACCGAGCATGTGACAGGACGTGATGGCATCATCGTACTCTTCGTGTGAGCTGTTCTTGTCACGGAGCGCCACGCTTGAGAAGTTGAAAACCAGTCAGGGGAGGATGCTGTGGACGTCACGTTAGATTTTAAAACAACCAATCTTGGCCCAGTTTACCTTGTCTGGAACCTTTAAAGACCTGACATTTATTATCATTCACGTTTATGCTCGAGTGCATGAGTCGGAGACCCGCTTTGACAGTGACATGGCTGAGGCTCCACCGCTCCAAGTAGACCCGGACTTTGAGCCTCTCAGCCGGCCGCGTTCTTGCACCTGGCCGCTGCCGGAGCTCATCGACCCGGCCAGCTCCGCCACATCTTCCCCGGCTCCATCGGTGCAGCAGGAGCAGTCGGGAAACTGCGAGTTCCCGCGTAACCTGTGCTTGTTGGAGGAGGACCCGGAGCACGAATTGCACGTGTCCCACTCTTCGGGGATGCACCTCCACCAACACCTGCAGCAGCCGCCCCCGCAGCTAGCGCCCCAGCAACAAGTGGGTCCTCCTGGCGCGGCGCCCTTGGGTGGCTCCAGCCAGAGGAAGAGCAACTCGTCCCGTCGCAACGCTTGGGGGAACATGTCGTACGCCGACCTCATCACCAGAGCCATCGAGAGCTCACCCGAGAAGAGACTTACCCTGTCTCAGATTTACGACTGGATGGTGAAGAGTGTCCCTTACTTCAAGGATAAAGGGGACAGCAATAGCTCTGCGGGGTGGAAGGTGAGTGTATGACTGCAAGCGGGGAAGAATCTAATAGATTCATATGAGGTGGTGGTGCATCACACTCATCTTTTCTCTTTCAAACATGTCTTAAAGTGAGATGCAAACAATAAAAGGCATTTTTAAGGTCTTGCCCACTGCACTTGCATATTCACAGTATGTACAGTGCAGTACATTTGACCAAACCGTGAGCAGTGCTTATGTACCTTTGAGCAAGGCATCAAACCCTCCAACACCTTTTGAAATTAATTATGCGAGTATTACTTTTTATTTAGCATGTGATATTGGTAATATATACAATAAACAGTATAGTAAATTAATATATCCTTTATATATTGGCAGAACAGTGAAATAGTGGTGAGCATATCTCCCTCACAGAACTGAAGGGTTCCAATCTCAGCGTTTGGGTGTTCTCCCCATGCCTGTGTGGGTTTTCCACGGGTACTCTTGCTTCCTCCCAGGAAAATGCAGGATAGGTTCACTCGAGACTCTAGGGCAGGAGTCACCAAACTTTTTGAAACTGTGAGCTGTTTCTTGCTTATTATAAATCCGAATAGCGAACCAGTTTCATACACACCTCTGGGAAAAAAAAATGCAGAAATTGTTTAATTATATTATTTTGAATTAATATACACATCTATGTGAAGACACTGACCATGTGAATGATTTCTCAGTAATTATCAACAATGATCGAAAGAAGTTTCTATAAATCTACGTTTCCATTTTCAAACTTCTACGACATCCCTAGGATACCACAACGTCTCATCGCTCGTAGGCTATTTTTAGAACAGGGCTGCTGACTACTCATGTGATTCGTGGGGGCTACCTGTTGCTTGTGACCACAATGTTTTTGACCTCTGCTCTAAATTGTTCTTCGGTGTGACTGTGATTGTGCCCCCCACTCACAATCAGCCCGGAGAGGCTCCAGCTCAGCATAATGACCAGCGCAATATAAAATGCATGGATATCACACAGTATTTTACATTGTCCGGCAGCACGGTGAAGAGTGGTTAGCGCATCTGCCTCACAGTTTTGAGGTTCGAAAATCAGCTGCCTGTGAAGAGTTAAAAAGCAGTATGGTCATGGACCTGGTGATCTTACAGTTGTTGGGAATCACTATACAGGTACAGGTTTCGTTCTATTATTATATTTATGCTTCAAATGAGAAGTGTGTATTTGGTTAAAATCACATATTTAATGCACCTTTCCTGATTTTCCATATAAAATAAAAACGTACTTTTAGAGATTGGAAACAGGCATCCTCCCGCCTTACGTAATTCTTGAGTTACATTTGTTGATTGATAGTAATCCTCATATGTATTTTTTTTCTATAGCACAAAGAATCTATTGCCATAAGCTGATTAAAATGCCCCCCGAATGAGAGAAACCCCGCGGTCAACCTTTTTATATTTCAACATTGTCACACATCCTGGAACCCGTCTCATGTCAGGAAATGCCTTTGCTATCAAATATAGTTTCCATTGTTTAACCCCCTGAAAGAAAACGATCCCGATTTGTTCGAGCAGACATTCGCAACGAAATATCGACGCAATAGCAAGTAGAAATGCAGAAAGCATGCCGTGATCTCTTCATAGCCTCCCGTTGACCAATACGGGAGTTGACACCAAGAGTTCAATCACTTTTGGTGAGTCGTGTGTTGGACGGAAAAGGGGCTGGCAGAAGGGGATACCGGGAAGAACGTCAAACATCCTCCATTCCTGAGCTCTGTGCTCACATCCTCGTAAGCCTGTCTTCTAGAGTTTCCTCAGCGGATGCTACAGCTCAGAAAGAAAGAGAGGGATGCTCTTTATTGCGTCACTTCCACCTCTCGCCTCACTTTATACCCAAGTTTTACTTAATCAAAAAAGAACAAACAGATACTCCACTAAAGTGTGTTTGTTTTTAAGTTGTACCATTCAGTGCTGATTCATTTGCATGATTCGGCCTCGGTGAAGTTCTTTGGCTAGTTCAAGTCGTGGTTTCGTAATGGCGGCCCTATTGGTGCACTTTCAGTCTTATAGGGGTGTCAATATTTTACACACTCACACACAAACATCTCAAAATATATTTTGCGGAATACAAAATTGGATTTATCAAATAGCACCTGCAGATTTTATTGCTGCACTTTCAGTCTTATACGGGTGTCAATATTTTACATCTCATACACAAACATCTCAAAATATATTTTGCGCAGTACAAAATTGGATTTATCAAATAGCACCTGCAGATTATTGCCAAGACATTGATGACATTCTTTTGACACTTGAAGGAGATGAACTGCAGAAAAAAAAATTAAAGTTGTACTGTGAGAAATATATTTCCAATTTGAAATATATATTAGAAACTGCCTGAATGAAAAAAATATGGATGCATGTGGAATGATGTGGAATGATGTTGCACTATACTTAATTATATAAAATGATGTGAAATGGGGAAATTATTGTGAACATGTTGGAAACCGTGAAAGGTTAATTAAATGCGTGGATATTTTGAATTTGAAATGGAAACAATGTTGTGAATCTGTTTTGTTTGTTGTTTGTGGAAATTTTCGTGGTCGAAATGTTATATTTTTCGTCGATTGCAATTATTGGCAAGTTGAAAATTGTTCGTAAGATGAACTGAACGAGCTGAATGTTTGGAATTTCAAATAGTGATCATGTGAATCTGATATGTTGAATTTCCCATCGGGAATGAATGTAGAATTTTCGGAAAGAGAAAAATAGTACCTTGAAAGATAGAAAAAATGGGTCAAAGACAAACAGGTATAACAATTATTTAATGTCATCCTCATCAAGGAAAAACATTTCAAGCTACAGTATTAGTTTCAACTCAACATCTCTCCACTTATCCACTCTATTGTTGGCACGTTCACTGAGCCTTGGAACTGCTGTTAATGGTTATTTTTACACTTTCCTGTTAAAAAAACACGGCAGTCCCCCCACAATGAACTATGACGCATTTCCTGGCAAGTGGATGGAAAACAGTGCCATGTGTTAACATCCCCGCCCAGCAAAACACAAGGCTCCGGTTTGGAAAAAGAGGAGGAGGAACCTATAACCCAGACTATACATGTTTTGTGAATTTATTTAGACTTGCAGCCGTTTTATTCCATTTAAACATTTCTCAATGTTATGCTTTCCCTAATTTCATTTGCTGATATTTTGATTTAAGAATCCACATGCTTGAGCGCCCCTGAGAGTAATGACAGACAGAGGGCAGGCAGCGACTTGGTCGTTCATGCGGGGCTTTGGGTTTGATTCTACAGCTCCGCCTATAAACGACCTGAGGTGGGTGGAGAGAAGGATGAGGGCAATGCCGCTGCCTCTAAAGCTTCCCGTTGGTCTCACTTGGCAGCTCTTTGCTTTCCCTCTCCTACTGTTGCGCTATCTCAAGATGCCTTTGCCACCAGAGAAGGTCCTTCGCTTGAGGGGGAGTCGTTCCCCCTTGGGATGTCTCTGGATCAGAGAATAGCTGCGTGCAAACCAGGCTAACCGCGATGTCAGTACAGCTATTGTTTCCTCAAATAAGGGGGCGGGAACAGTCCTGAGTTCACAAAAGTGACAGAATTACAAAATAACCTCCGACTTATTCAACACGTCCCGGAACATGTTGAACCGTGTGCGAAGGCGAATCACTTGCTCACGCTCTGCGATTTATTTGCTGTACAGTAGAATTGTAGATTGTCAACTAGTGAACCCATTAACCAAAAGCAGTTTCAATCTGTAGTCCACAGGCCAAACCTTCTCCCTGTTTGTATTTCTCAGACCAAAAAAAAAACCAGGAGAGATTGTACGTTTTGAGTCACTTGGATTAGTTTTTTTTTTTTAATCACGTGAAAAGAAGATCAGAGAACGTGAAAAACACCCTTCGTTTTTAGTCCCTTCATTTCTGTGAAGTCGTTTGAACGGACGTCTTCTTGTGGCACATGTGGACAACGGAGGAACTCATGGCACATTTAAAAGATATTTTCGAAACTCTTCATGACATCTCGGCTTGTAAAAATACCACTATATAAGCACAAACCTCAAGGGTATGAAACCCGGCAAAGCATTCAAGTTTTTGAAGTTCGTACATTGCAAATGCCGTGCAACTGAGTTGCAACCATGATTTTTACTTGAAGGTGTTCAGACATTTTTGAGTTAAAAAAAATAAAATAAAAGATTTACCCTCAGATCAAACATATTTAACTTGGTGTTGTTGAAGATTTTTATCTATGGAACACATTTTTGGCTTAGGACATTCTGGGACACGGTGCTGATGAGCGTTGAGATATAAAGTGGCACGTTGAATAAGTGTCAGCCAAATGTCTTGGGAATCACAAGGTTAAAAGAGGGGATGGCCGCCTAGGAACTTAAGAAGCCCGCTGAGAGTTTAAAGTATATATGTAACGCCATGAAGAAAGGGAGGCTCGGGGCAGGGGCCCTTTTTTTTTTTTTGAACAACTATTCTGGCCTGAGGGAAGGCGGGAAGCACTCAGCTGACTCAAGACGCCTGCATACAGTTTGCTGTCGACCCATGTGTGAGTCTGTGGAATCCTTGGCATGAGCGCGACTGCATTGTCCCCTTGCATGCTCAGAACAATAATATCCCTCCCATCCCGCATCGTATGTTCACATAAAGAACCTTGCCGAAAACCCAAAACACAACCTTTAAACACATTAAAAAAATTATTTTTATTATTATTTTTTTTTAACATCTCGCTGTTTTTTTTTTCCATTTATATCGAATAATTAAAAAGCTCTAAAGGAAGAAAAACTTTTGTTTTCACCATTGGTTGACACATTTGAAAAAAAAGTGTAATGAGACGAACGCTGAAAACACGTCTGTTGGCGAACGGCCGTGCATCACAACCAAAAACCAACCAGGACTCCTTTGCAGCATTTGTTTCTCAACGTAATGAATTTGACAAAACTTCTCGAAAAAGCGTAAATGTACCGCGTGGTGACGACAACCGGAGGAGAGCATTACCTATACTTCAGGATAACAGCAGGGAGGACAAACAGTTTGTGTACCTTTTTGGACAGTTTTATGTAAGCCCTTTTGAATGTGACAATGTGAAAGACACATTTTAGAAATCCATTTTTACTGGGCTGTCATGAAAATTGACTCGACCACATGTGGCCTACTTATCGCACGTAGCTTCTTCTCAGTCCCATTCTGATGTGGTGGTTGAAGTAGGTCGCCCTGCAGCGTGATTCTCAGTGTTAATGATTTATAGGCACACGGCTAGACGAGATGAGAAGTCCTCCATTTTCATCTGGCCGGTAGTGCGTGATTTAAAAAAAAAAAGTATATTTATCTGCTGTGTAACTGAAAACTCAACCCGAGTTTTTTATTTTATTTTTTTTCAACTCCACTTTTTGAATGACAGAAAATGGCGGAGGGAGGGACCTGCAGTCACTGACAGGAAGTGGTTCATCCCTTGACGGTAACATCTCTAAATGCTGAGCTCTCTTGTTTTCACCATTTAAGATTTTATAAGTTGTGATAATAGCCAGAAGAGGTTATGGTCCAATGGTAAATTTCATTGCGGAGATAATGCATACATTTTAGACCTACGTTGTATCTAAAAATAAATTCATCAGTTCATAGGGTTTTTTTTCATTTTTTTTAAGCGTAAATTCCTCTCTGTTGTAAATCGGAATCGACATCAGCCTCAAAGCATCTGTATTGGTCGGACTCTACTAATCATTCTAAACTTTCTCTCTTCGGCGACTCCTCTGTCCTATGTCTAATTGGGTCTGGTGCTATATACCTTATGCACAGCATCTGTACAGACTGCATGTGGGTCTAATTTCACTTTGGCTGCACCTGACCCCCGCAGACTGGGCCTTGTTTGTTTGCTCATCCTGAAGCCGTTACTGCAAGCCTCATGCTTGGCTGCACAAGGAGCAGCAGCTGTGTCAATGAGATTGTTTTCAGGTCTAGTGGGAGGGGTCTGGAGCTTTAGATAGATAGACAGATAGATAGGTTGATAGATAGGGCATGTCTGCTGATAATGGTGATTGGGTGATTAGAGGAGATAGACAGTCGAGTATTTTGCTAAACTACAGTACTGCAAAGGGATTCAGCAGCATATCACATGTACACTTTGTGCCCCGACATGTGGCATTCTTGAATGCTAACTGGAAATAGCGGCTGCCAGCAGCAAAGAAATGTGTCCCGTTTCAGATGGCCTTGCACCAGCTGACCCGAGCTAGGACAAGTGGAACGCACTCACATGCAAATTAAAGCTGTCCTTTCACCCTTTACGGACATGTGGCGGTTGAAAGGAACTATACGATATATTTAGCGATTTCCTGTGGTAACAAACAAAGCGGGACAATTCATTTGAAATGCAATAATAGCTCTCAGTGGTTAACAAGCTGTTGATAAAAGTTCCAAATGGACAGAAGGGATCGGCCCAATTCTTCCTGGTTCATGGAGAGTGACGTGGGGCGTAGACTCCATTTTATTGTGTGCGCCAGGGGAATGAAAAGCAATTTTCTGTCCAAAATCAGTCGAGTTTTTCAGTTAAATGGCTAACAAGCCAACAAATTAGCTTCCAAACAATACTTCTGGTCTTCATGCTTGGTGGAGGTAAGAACAAACTGAGTTTTTTTTTTTCATATTATATGACTACTATTGTATGGGTCACAGCTCAAATTGCTCAGTAGGGCTTGTCGCTAAGCATTTCTCATTTTCAAACCTCCCTAATGTGGCCTTGCAAATGTACCTTGGTGCTTACAAGTTAATCAATTTGCGAATGGGCCACATTCGGATAACGTGTCGGATATTTAAATGCTATAAAGTGGTTTCAGGGTGAGGGAGCTGTGCGATTTTAAAAAGACGTCAGGCGACAATGAAACATCCTTAGGTCGGGCTTTCAGTACACTAATGTGTGTGACGGGGACATCTTCTGAATTAGCGAGGCTGGGGTTGCCTTTTGTTCTCTGTGGGTTGAGTTGAGGTCTGTCTCAGACGAGGATAATCCCAGACTGAGGAGGGAATGCGTCTTCCCGGGGACCAGTCACGCAGTCCGTCATCTATTGTTAGAACTAATCAGAGGGCGTAGATGTTTGCATATCGCCGGTGATCTTGGCCATGCTTCTTCTTGTTGCTTACTTATAGTTTCAGGTCTGTAAGTGAGCCTGCGCCACTCAGGTTGAATGGCTTATTTCCTGTTTGCATCCATATTGAGGGAGGAAAAAGTCTTGATTTAAATAAACAGAGACCGATTGAACATTGTTTTCATGCCACCTCACTCTCTCCATTTTGCATTCGCAGGATATCCTTCACTGGACCCCTTATTGCATAAAAGTCGAGCCGAGAAGGGAAGTTGAGTCAGAAAGGAGTACATTACAAACGAGTCTCCATTCGACCTGTTTGCATGTCTCCGTCAGGAGCCTCGTTTTCAGTGGGCAGTGAACTCATTGACCCTGGCCACATAGCAACAACATCTCACTCTCGCATGCTCCTCCCCTCTCAACATGCAAACCCTGTAACCTCCACCCTGCTCCCATTTTTCTGCTAAAATGTTCTCTCATCCTCGGATCAAAGTAGACGAACTAGCTGTGGTTGCGTGGCGACAGTCATCCAAATGAATAGACTGGCGAGTTTTACAAGAGTTTTTTTGTTTTTGTTGTTTTGTTTTTTTTTTTCTTCACATGAAGGCCTGCAGGAATTTTTCAATTTCACTTTAGCGTTTCCTAATAGAAAGACGTCTACTTCAAACTCATCGGCTATTAATCAAACATTAAACCGATTTAATTCGGCTATTAAAAAAACAAATCAATAAAATACACAAAGCCTATCCGTTGTTTTGAATGTGAGCATCATAACATCCCTGCTTGCTCAGCCCTGTCGAATTCTGTGGTTGAGGACATCTGGCACCACCGTACGCGTAACTGCAATGAGCTGCTTTTGTCTCATTGTGGCCATGTAGGGGAACTTCCCCACTCTTATGTTTCGTTCAACATGTTGTTCTCTGGCAGACGTGTTTTGTCATATTTGGAAGATTTTGTCCCGGGAGGCCTCAACGGTGCAATCCGTCTGCATGGTAGTGTTTTTTAGCACTCTTCTTCCACCCCCCGTTCTGAGATTATGACAGAAGGCGCCGCTGGCTCCCTTTTTAGACCCCTATGGTATCATTAGAGAGCAGTTCAGTCACTATATGAGGCTTTAGGTGTACACAAGGGTAACTAAAAGTGGCTGCATACAAAAAAAAAAAAAGAGCAATTTGGGCGAACCAAAAGTAATGCAGTCCTGTCTCATTTGCAAAATGCTTTTAAACTGCCCTCACTGTGGAGATTTCAACTCATTCCCTGACTCATGTTGACCCATGAGTAAATTGCTCCTTATTTATTTATTTTTTTTCTCTGTGTGCTTTTCCACTTTGGTGGAGTACTTTTGCCACCAGCAGATGGGTGGGATTGAGATGTCCTGATAAAACTGCTCTGACATCACGGGAAATATATGATTATCACCTCCTGTGAAGGTGTGGCGAGGGGGGCGGGACAGGGACAGTGACAACCAACCATAATAAATAACTAGATATTGCAAGTCCCTCAGAGACTTGGTGTGAACGCTGTCCAGTGTTGCCAAGCCAAGTAAACAAATTATTTAAAAACTTTACTGGCTCTTAATACAAATCATCACATGATAGCAAATCTCTGGCTACCAACAAGTAGCTTTAAGTAGCATAGATGACATTGGAGCAATTGCCTTCTCATTGCTTTTTGTGTCCAAATTTCAAGGCGACAAAGTGCAATATGTTTTCAGTTTTGCTGTTGTGAAAATTGCTTTCCCTGCATTTCCCATCAATGAATAAAGAGTTTACAGAACAGTCGTCCTTGTAATGGAACCCAACCTAAAAGTATCCCAACTTGCTTGCTTTGTAATTTATCATTTCAAGTCTTTTTTTTTTTCCAAACTTAATGAATGTTTTTGGACAAAAATTATAAGTTTTGTTTTTATAGTGTAGAACAGGGGTCCCCAACCGCCGGGCCGCGGACCGGTACCGGTCCGCGGCCCGGCGGTTGGGGACCCCTGGTGTAGAAGACAGCCAGCATCTGTTATACGCCCCAATTTTGTACAACGCTGAATACTGAAAATAGATCGATGGATGAATGACTACATGAATGGAAATACCTGCGACATTCAAACGATTTACCTTCCGACTCTTCCAGAACTCCATCAGACACAACCTTTCGCTGCATAGCCGCTTTGTGCGTATTCAGAATGAGGGAACAGGAAAAAGTTCATGGTGGATGCTAAACCCAGAGGGAGGGAAGAATGGCAAGTCGCCTCGGCGCAGAGCCGCCTCAATGGACAACAACAGCAAGTTCGCCAAAAGCCGAGGAAGAGCCACAAAGAAAAAGGTAGAGCACAATTACGATAGTTGAGATACTTTTCTTCCCTTGTTCAACTTTGCAATTTCTATGACGCATGATGTCACTACTTTGTCTTGGAAAAATATGACTTTGTTCTTAAAAGATGACAACTTTTCATCACGACAAAATACAGCTTTGTTCTTGTAACCATTACACGATTTTAACTTTAGTCTTGTGACATTATGAATTTTTTTTTATAATGTAAGAGCTTTTTGTCGAAAAATACGCATCTTAGGCATATAAATGTTTGAGAACCTCTGTTACACATTAGAACGTGTGCATTTGTGAGTCGTTTGTGTTTTCCACACTTCCAGATGGCTCTCCTGGATGGGGCTGAAGCAGGAGCGAGCAGTCCTGGTTCCCAGTATTCCAATTGGCTGGGAAGTCCAAGCTCCCACAGCAACGAGGATTTTGAGTCCTGGAGCTCTTTCAGAACCCGCGCCAGCTCGGACGCCAGCACCCTGAGCGGCCGTCGTTCACCTTTCTCCTCCGAGCAGGATGACCTCGGGGAAGGCGAGGGTCACCTTATGTACCCCGGGGGGAGTAAGATTGCCCCTCCCCTCCCCAGCCTGTCTGAAGTGTCTGGATCCATGGGGGGTTCAGAGATGGTCATGGAGAACTTGGCGGATAACATGAATCTGCTGTTCCCGAAAAACCCCCAACTGGGTTCTGACTCCTCTAATGTTGCCATGCTTCAGAGCGGTCCCTATAACAACCCCCAGGCGCAACAGGACTTCCGAAAATGCATGTACCCTCAGGCCAGGATGAATTCAATGTCCCCTGTCCCTCTGCATCCGCTGCGAGAGAACAAGCAGGACTATGACACTTATGAGAATCAATATATCTGTCCGACTGGCCTCCTTAAAGAGCTGATGTCCACCGAAGCCGACACAAGTCGAAACTTGATTCCCTTTAAGGAGTCACCAATTCCTCACGTCGGGAGGGGCCGTTGCCCAGTGCCCACCTATGACAGCCAGAGACAATTGGGGGTACATAACGGCAGCAAAATGATCCATCCCGCTCAGAGCCTGGCCGCCCGTCACGTAAATCCGCAAGCTTTACATAATCAGGCTCCTCCGTCCTCGCGGGATTTGAATAGCGGCAACATGATCCCTTTGACCAGTCTGAGCAGTCTTTCGGGGGGCCCTCGTCAAATGTCAAGCTTGAGGACACACATGCAACTATCACGTGGTCACCTGGACTCCACTCGTGATTTCATGTCTCCCTACCGCAGCAGCAGCGGCGGCTACAGGGAGCTTCACCCACACGCTCATCACCAGGAGCGGCTGCCCAGCGATCTGGACAATATGTCCATTGAAAGGTTTGAATGTGACATGGAGTCCGTCCTCCATGACACTCTCATGGATGGCGGGGCGCTGGACTTCAATTTTGATCCTGCAGCCGGGTCTCAAGTGTTCCCCCAGAGGGTGTAGACCACCACACACAGATGGGTGTCGGGCTGAGGCAAAAATGATTTGTGATACTCCACAGAGTAGCTTATGTTAAAGTTGTTGTCTTCAGTTGCCATTTTAGGTCTATCAATGCAATGTATTCCATTGAAATGTCTTTGTTTTGCTCCTCAGTAAATACTGGCGATAAGTACTGTATTTTTAATATCGGTGAACAGTATGTACGTGCAGTTAAGTGGCAAATTATTCCTAGACTGGCCAAAATCATCTTGTGTTGAAGTGAATTTCTAATTTTGAAATGGGTAGCGAGGAACGGCACCAAATGACGGCAAAAAGACATGTTATATTGGAGATTGCTTTTATATATATTTTTAATGATTCATATCCATGATCTTATCAAACTCTTCTGAAGAAAAATGCCCCCAACTTCAATTCTTGCATAATATATTCTAAGGAATTTTGAATAGTGGATATGTATGACGTATGGAGATTTAGATTTCGATTTAGCATATTTATGAAATATTTTGCCATTTGTTAGTAAAGACTGAGAAAATTGGATTTGTTGTACTTTTTAAAATACTTGAACCCCTTTTCTGTGGAATACTTGAGCCCAGACACACGCAGACTCTATATCCAGCGGCCCCCCCACATAAGGTGAATTTGACACCCCTGTGTTAACTGTATCACATCATTTATAAACAGTGTGATATTTATTTATTGTTATTTTTTTCTGTAGCTGTGACTGTTGACCATTCTTGTCTAAAGTACAATAATAATGTGTTTGCTTTTACTGAATGTGGCTTGTATTTATGTCAAGATGAGAGTGCATACCTTGAGTTCATAAATGCAGTAATGAGGCAGATGATTGCAAATACATTTCGGGAATTCTTCTGCCAATGATTTTTTTTGTTGTTTTTATTTTATCTTTTTTTTTTTTTTTGCTGGAATGTGTTTTCATGTAAAATTAAAGGGATGCTTCTTAATCGAATTGAGCAAACATGCACTGTATTATTTTTTTTAGCTGTACATTTTAGCAGAGAGAGCTGTTGCTGTCTGTAATATTTCTTGTTCATCTCATTCAAAAGAAATGCCAATTCACTGTGCCTACATACTCGCGCTGTCAGACTGTTGTACGTACTCGGTTCTTAAGTCATTCATATCCGTTTTTCATGTATATACCCGAATGTTGTACTGTATGTGTGATCGTAACCATTTGTTTTTATATATCTCAATTCAAACTATAGCCGTAAATATATGAACCTTCAATACCTCAAAATATTTTTACCTCTTAAACTTTGAAGGGAATATATTGCCCCTGCTGTCATGTTATTTGCTTTGTTGTACATATATTTTTGTTTGAATTGAATATATCTGAAAGCGGCGTCTTATGGATATGTTCAGAATCTTGTCTGCCGAAGTTGTCTTTTGCATATGTTCTTTGTAAGATGATTCTCGCCATGAGTTTCTATCGTAAATATTGTCTGCCACGAGAAAAGCAATAAACTAAAATGTATCGTTTTGTAATATGACATTGATTTGTCTGTTTCATAATTTTGAAAGAGACGTACTTTGTAATCTAATAAAGTGGAAAACCTTGATCGAAGGAGCCTTTAAAACTGCTTCATCATACTACAGCAACATCTAGGTACATCATTTATCACAAAATGACAAAAGAATGACATTAACATGCAAATTCTTATTGAGTCTTTAATAGGCCAGGCCTGAGATTTGAATACAAAACCTTAAAACCACAGGTAGAGGTGTTAACCAAGGAGTCGTCAAGTTGCCCCCAGACTACCTGCTGATCAAATATTTTAGGGCATAGCTCATAAGGTCTATTCAAATTTATAATCGCATGCCAGAATATATGTATAGTGTACATTTTTAAAAAATAAATTGCTGTCTATGTGCACTCACTGGCCACAAAAGGAAGTACACCTGGGCAATCAAATTATTTATAGGAATAGTACTAATTTTCCTACCCTATTTTAAAGATTCAAAACATCAAAAACCGATCTAAGTATGATACAGATTCAGGTCAGACTCAAGTCACAGTCAGACTCATTTTATGGTCACATAAACTTGACATACTGATAAGATAATGCATGTTGCTGTCCTTAAATAACTTTGAAGACATCAAGGTTTTATCTGTAGTCTTTTATGAAACTCATGATCAGTTTCTGCTTGGCACAGAATATAAATTGTTCTTGCTGGTACAACTACCTCAAATGACACGACCTATGGCTATCCAGAAAAAAACGTTAATAGTTCTGAGTGACAACAAATAAAGCAAAAATTTGCTCATTGGCTTTTCACTGTGGAGCACCTAAAAAAATTGAATGCCAATCTGTTGCGCGCTGACTTCCACGAAGGCCACACAATGTAGGCCTTGCCCCGCAGCGGCTTGTGTACAATTCATTCACCAATTCACCCTCTTGTGGATTTTGGGGGCAGTGAACTTATCCTCTGGTAATTGCCCCAAAAAAATTCACTTACTCACTGTTGCTGCATTCAGGCCAAAGCCAATGTATTGTAAAACAATTTTGCTTTGCACCATCTGGTATTTGGTGCTAAGCCACAATGTCGAACTGAGGGGTGGGGCTTCATTTAGTCATGCCGTAGCCTAGTGCAATAGTAAAATTACAATTACAAACCTTTTGGGATGGGCGTCAGTTAGTCACAGATTTTTGCTATTTGCGTCATGGGTGGGAGGCGATTCACCATTGTAAGATGCATGCACCATGATGTGATATAATTTGTACAATCAGTGCACTTGGAAAGGTACAGTGTCTAACATAAAATGATATACAGCGCGTTTCACATTTATTAAGGCATACTGTGCGCACATTTGTATTGTGTATTTTTATCGGGCGTTACATCACGTGTGCTCACCTCACCCACAGTAAACGAAAGCGTAGGCCCAAGTGCAGTACCTTTTTATCTTAATGCCATGACGTCAGCAAGCTTAGTGGTGGTTTTGCCACTCCTAAAATCCACTAGTAATTTCTTAGTAAGTTTTGAAATATTGCAATTAAATCCAGATTGTTTCTGCTCAAGCTGCTGTCAAAACAGAACCGAGGGCTAAGAACGCTTTTCAGTATTTTCAGTACGGTATGACCTCAATAAAAATGGCTGAATTTAAACCGTCAGCTAACAGCGCCCTCTCTGGGACAAATAGTGGCAACACAGATCGAACAAAACTGCTGATCCAGCTTTCCTCTGACGCAGTGAGTATCATATCAAAATGTGTAAAGACAAAAACAACGTGCGCCTGTGGATTTACACCTTTATTGCTGTAACTTTGTTATAGCAGTTAGTTCATACAGTATTTGGCAACACAGTATAAGATAGTTAAATGAAAAAGAATATGTATGATCTTTAAAGTGCTCATGTGAAACAATACTCATAGCAGAGAACCCCCCCAAAAATAGCAACCATGTTTAAAAAGAATAATGTGATGAATCTTCGAGTGAATTTGAAACATACATTTTCAATTAATTTTTCAACTTGTGAACTTTTGCATATTTTTTTAGAATAAGAACAGGGAAAGGACTCCTGATTTTAAACATCACAAGATTGTCAAAGTCTATTTCAGACATTCCATCCAACAAATACTTGTACTGCCTTTGTCTTGGACAAGTGGATACTTTACTCTGTTTAGACTGTTGGGCATATTAGCATCCATAAATTTCTTGAAATGTACTGTATTAATACTTGGAATAACATCATATTTGCGTTGTGATGCAATTTAAGCGCTACTTGTTAGATAGTTTTGGTACTACATGAGTATATGACAGAGCCACAATGTCTGGTATAGTATTAAATAACAGCTTGGCAAAGGGACACTTCTAAAATAGTCAACATTTAAAATGAAAGGAAATTTACCTTACTTTGAAAGGCAGCATGCCCTCACTCGAAAACGTTTAGTTGCACTTACTGCATTGACACTTAATTGGGTGCAGCTAAAAATCCAATGTCCTGGATCAAAATTTCTGAATTTACGGTACAAAGATAATTTAGATCAAACGCTATTGACGTATTTATTTATTTAACTATATGTCTATTATTTTGGTTTTAATTTGCAGCAGTGTCAAATTGCATCATTCTGAGAGATATTTGTAACATTCCATAGAGTTGCATTACGGGCATACCTGATAATGTGGCCAGTAAGTGTATATGCTGAAGGTTAATCGAGTTGTATTATGTGCAACATAAAACATGCAAAACATAATGAATGGCATGTATCCATAAAGATGAATGTGACTCATTTATAAAAGCAAACCAAATCCTGACCACCAACAAAATGAATGTGGTCTTAAGATATCATATCGGATAATCATGTTCCCTGGAGCAAAAAAAAAAACAACAACCCCAAAGCAAAACAAATTACTAATGTTTCTGAAACAAAAGTAAGATTTAAAACATGTGGCTGACTTAAAAAAAAAAAAGTGCTTCTATAAGGCTCCGGAGATGTATTTTTCCATCTTGTTGTGAAATACAGTATTCTCAGTCAGGATCATCTTAAATTGATTCAACACTTAAGTGAGCCCCAAACCGGATCCATTGTACCATCAGGGAAAGTTCATGGATTCAGAAGACCCACTGCCACAGGAACTGTGACAGCACCGCTGACAAAAACCACGGCGCGGATTCAAACATCACGCTGATTGCCGAGCAGATTGGTAGATGCCCTGCCAAGAGAGTAGAATGTGACTTGACATATATATATATATTTTTTTTTTTTTTTTTTTTTGGGGGGGGGCGGGTGTGAAACAAGAAGCTGACTCACGGTGATGCACAGCCATGCTGTTCTCTTTCCAGCTCGTGCCTTGGTAAACCCTGCACGTGTACGTGTAAGGCTTCTCATCGCCCATCGGCGCCCAGGTGAGGCGGCACAGGTTTGGGGCAAACAGGCTGACGTTGCTCCTCCTGCGGTCCTCAGTGGACACGTAGATGACGGTGTTGGGGTAGGTGCTGCCCACCAGCCTGCTATCCTGACGATACTCGCAGTAGGGGCCCGGGATCTCGTTGGAATCTGGAAACTCACAGTCCACCCTGACGTTCCTCTCCAAGTAAGTCAGGCATGGAAACATCTGAGGCCCATGCGGAGGGAAAAGAAATGTGTGGAAGGAACTCACTGGAGAGACACAAACAGAGAAAGAATCATTTTATGTCAGCAGAATCTTTCATGCTGAAAATTACAGTCTTACATAACAGTAATTTCCCAGAAGGACAAAGATCCTGAATGATCTTTCGGACATTTAGCAGCAATTGAAACACTGACTCTCTTTTTGAGATCCAACACACACAACAGGATCTTTGTCAGATGGCGCAAATACACTGTGCTGTACTCCTCCCCTGCGGCTATTTTATGGGGTGGTGGCCTCATACATGCTGTTGATGGTGCTGTGGTGAAAATGGGAAAGTGACCTCTTCTGTTCTCTTTGACTTGTGTTTGCCCTGCATGTCACTATTCAAAGACAAAATGGCAATTTTAATACAGTGCACTGTATTTTTATTTTTTGTATGTCCTCTCCCAGGAAAAAAAAGGGTACTGTAGGGCTCCATTTTTGTTCTCCAAGGTACCATTTTTTTAAAGATCTACCCCGTAGGGCTCACAATTGAACCCCTGTAAATAAATAAATAAATAAATAAATAAATACTGTTTACATTCAGCAAATGTACAAAAATGCACCTGATGGTCATCGGGACCATCTCTGTACCTTTTTGTTAGCAAATCGTAAGGGTATAAACAAGTGGTTGGTTGATGGGAATGCCTCTCTATGTAATGCAGTTCGAAGAAATAAACAATAAGAGTACGGTAGTAATCGAGAAGTAGCAATCTGGGATGGGAATGTTCTTGCACTTTGTACCCTTAAAATGAACTGACAACAGTTCTTGTGTGCTCTTACACTTTTCAGCCACTTTTCGGTTACCAGGAAGCATGAGCGGCGCACAATATTGAACTTTCTCTGTCATAAGGTCATGACTCATCATTTAAGTCTGGTCATGTTACCCATAGTTGGCTGAATGTGTGTCTTGATGAACTGTCGTATCAGGTTGTCAGGTTGAGAATGAGATGCATTTTGTATTGGGCAAATAGCAACATCATACACCGGATATATAGAGTTACTGGAGACCATCCGACAAGCATCTTGTCAGATGATCTTTTTTTCCGGATTCTATCCATCTATCGAATTCTATTCATCTGCCACTACATGTTGGATTTCAGGAATTTTAAATAATAGCATCTTGCTGCATTAACTATTTAGATTGATAACCATGCAGCAAAGACAGTTTAAATAAACTGACTTACTGTGAGTTTGATGTGTTATTATGATCCTGGAAAAGAGAAGGCATGTTGTGGTGACCAGGTAAGGAGCCATTTGTTTGCAGTAAACCATACCGAAGTCCAGCTCACATCAATAACCTTCACAGCACGTTTTCACCTGCAGAGTGAGACATGGGACCTCATGAGAGTTCTGCATGTACACGATGTCTGAATACAGTAGTGAAGACAGCAGAGGCAAAAACAATAACAACAACAACAATAACATGCAACATCATCGTGCCCTTGGAAACATCCCCGAGCTTCAAAAATAACGGGTCAATGGAGGCTGCAGATGTGACGACGCCCATGCAGTGACTTTGCACTGCAGCAAACTCCCCAGCTGCATACTCTCATATCATCTTCAGTGCAGATTTAAAACCCCGCTTCACCCCCGTGCACTTCTGCAACCAAACAATGTCGGGGTATTTCGCAGGCTCTCAAAATGTCGAATTGCACTTCAGCGTCCTACCTGCTCGTTGGACACAATCCGGCGCTGCTTCCGAGCTGCAGGGTAACAATCCAACGCACCCGCAGACGCGCACACTCACACGCGTTGGCCTCCTTGTACTCGCGTGGGCAAACGGACAATGATTTTCTGACTCTTGTGTTTGTATTGATTTTATTTCTATGTATTTGAATTAATTCATCAAGTCCTCCAGATCCCCCGCCCCTCACCAAAAAAACGCAATTAAAAGAAATAGTGTTACTGAACACCCGTGCCGCAGTTCGATACCAGCTTCCGCTGGTGGATAGAGTCCAAAAGAGTGACGACAGTGTCGTCATACTGACATCTAGTGTCATGAGTTAGAATGCACAGTCATTACAACCCATCTTTATTCATACAGCGCTTTTCACAACAGCTGCACTTTACACATTTAAAATAAAATAACAATAATACAACAGATAACGTAACGTCATAAAATACAAAAAAATATATTTGTTTCTTCGGTCGGGACCATGCGCAATTGACATTAAGGTACGTAATACAGCTATGGGAAAAAGAAGTGACCCAACACTGGACTTTTTTTTTTTTTGTATTTTGACCATGTGACAATATTTTAACATTTTGTTCCACCTTTTGTTTGCGTTTATTCCACTTGCCTATTGTAGTAGGTACCATATTATATGATTTGGAATCATTTTTATTGGTTTAAATGACAGACTTTTATTAATTCAATAAATCATGTTTTTTTTGTGAGGTGTGGGTAGGAGTGACATCAATTAACACAAGCAAAATTGCACAGTACATCGCAGAGCAGTTTTAATGAGCTGCTCGGATTTGTGTCTTTGAGAGGGCTGCAACACTGCTGCCAAATTCCTCAGAGACTACTTTGGCAAGGGAGGTGTTCAGCAAATGTCCTTGAAAAGATGGATGAGCAGTGTGTACAGGGTGTACCACAGAGGATACAATGTGTTTAGCATTAAGTGTAACGGCATCGATGTTTCACCAACAACCAGGCTGACAGTGACTCTTGTTTTAATGCAGATTTTTCCCCCCAAAAAATGTGAAAACATTCACGGAATGTTGGGGCGTGCACACCGCCCTCATTAAAGGCTGCGGTGGCATTCAATGACACTGTGCCTAATAATTCGTAACTGCACTTTTCTTTTGTTAATATGACACTTCAGTTTCTCAAAATCACTGAACATTCATTGCCTCAGAGATCAATAACAGCGCAGCAGAACAAGTGGATCAGAAAGAAACTCACACAGTACCGTCGATAAAACTACTGAGGTACAGCACATTTCGACAAGAGGGGAAATATGACTTCCATTTTTTTGCCATGTCATTTTATATTTACGTTAAACAAGTAGAGCCAGATTGTGGGGAAAAAAACTTCCATACGATGATAAACTGCACATTAAATTATGATTAAATGGCCTCAAGGACCTGCTGTACATTTCCAAACACTGAATGAGGACTGACGTTGTAGCCAGTGAAGTGTGTCAGCTGATCAACTTCTGTCCTCTTGTTAAAAGGCGGTGTGAAAAAAAAATAAATCGAAAAGCCTATGTAATGTTGATAAATGTCCCTTAACTGGAGTGGAGCAGCCTTTTCTGCCCCTCCCTCACGGTCCCCCCTCCCTTACTCTCGCCTGTGTTTCTTCTCGGAGCCGACCTCTACTGTAACAACCCCTGGCATCACTGCAGAGCGCTGAGGAGGGCAATAAAACTGCATCAGACAAGGTGAGGATGATTCATACGCTATCGCTTGCAGAATCTCGCATGGAGTAAATGTTGACTTTTATGACATGACAAATTGTTCCAGATTGGACTTTTTTAATGCAAATAATGATCCGAATGAGTTTGTAATGTTTTCAGTATTCAAGTAAATATTTTAAACTACATTGCAGACAAATTAATGTACTAATGTACTAATTAGGTATTTGGAAACGCCACTGATGATTTAAAAACTGTCCAATGATCAAAATTTGTAGGTGTGGTTTTGAAAAGGAATGCATCACTGTTGGCATTTATCCAGTGAACTTTCGAGTTCTTCACTGCACAGCATGAAGAGTAAGGCGACACTGCACCTGCTTGTGGCACAGTTGGCCAATACGAGTCAGGACCTTTGTGACAAAGTAGCATTATCATGTTTTTGTAACAAAGTCCAGCTCATCTTCCCAGAGTGCAGTCAGCATTACTGTACTCAATATGTATGTTAAAACATGGAAATGACACAATCGACATATATGTGTGTGTGTGTGTGTGCGTGTGTGTGTGTCTACAATAATTTCAGTGTTTGTTTGTTTGTTTGTTTGTTTGTTTGTTTGTTTGTTTGTTTTTCCAGGAAGGTTGCAAGAATGTTCTTGCTTACCACAATTCTTTTGTTTGGTAAGGTCATTCAAATGCATCACTGTTGGCATTTATCCAGTGAACTTTCGAGTTCTTCACTGCACAGCATGAAGAGTAAGGCGACACTGCACCTGCTTGTGGCACAGTTGGCCAATACGAGTCAGGACCTTTGTGACAAAGTAGCATTATCATGTTTTTGTAACAAAGTCCAGCTCATCTTCCCAGAGTGCAGTCAGCATTACTGTACTCAATATGTATGTTAAAACATGGAAATGACACAATCGACATATATGTGTGTGTGTGTGTGTGCGTGTGTGTGTGTCTACAATAATTTCAGTGTTTGTTTGTTTGTTTGTTTGTTTGTTTGTTTGTTTGTTTGTTTTTCCAGGAAGGTTGCAAGAATGTTCTTGCTTACCACAATTCTTTTGTTTGGTAAGGTCATTCATGACATATTTTCTAAACTGAGTGTGTTCCTGGTTGTATTCACAAATAATCTTTTTCTAAATGTGTGATTTGTCATTGTGAATATGTCTCTGCCTTCCAGGCTTTGCATCAGCTCAGAAGGTGATTCAGTTATCTTACTGCTCGATAGAAGAGAACCACGTCAGGCTCGATTGCAAATATTCGCTTCCCGCTGAGTCACCCCAAGTATTTTGCAAGTACACACAAGGGGAAAGACTCTTGGACACCACCAACCCAGAGGAGGAGCAGCATGCCCCCTACAAGCACCGAGCAAAAGCCCGCATCTTCCCGGGCAACATCTGCCGGCTGCTGTTTAAAAACCTGCCAAACGGCAAGTCCAACTTCACCTGCAATATCAAACTGGCCGACTCAGCATCAGCGTCCAAAACCTCTGTGGTGGAGAAAAGTAAATTACCTCGATTGTGAACATCCCGTTTGAACTATTGTGAGTGATGGCCATTAAAACTCTTCTCCGTTCTTATTGCAGAGCTTCTCCTCCCCTGTTCTGCCTTGAGTGTCCTGTTACAAAGTTGCAGTGGCCTGCTGTTGACCTTGATGACACTTCCCATGCTGCTCGCTCTTCACTGGCTGTGAACATGGCGCTCAAGCTGTTCCACCTGATCATCTGGTGGCTGTCAGTGGACTCTCAAGGCTGTGTGTTGAGCTGAATGCACACACGTTTTCCAGCATATCTAGGCTTAATATGCAAAAGTAAAACTGCATTTACCGTATCCTCAGCTGAGTTCAAGCACGATCTCAGGAATATAGAAATGAAATGTGATATATTCTCTAGTATTGCCACTTAGATGAATCATTATAGTGATTCTGTTCTATACAATGAGTGCTTCGTAGCTCAGGAGTGACAGAATCAGCTTTCCCCAACCGGGTGATGCAAGACATCTGCCCATTTCTGCCAAATAATAATTAGTCCAATCATATAAAGCAATACTGGCTTTGAATTGCATGCATGAGGTATCTAGATAAATCAATATACACTGTAGATGGCTCTATTTATAAAACATTTGTGGTAATGCAAAGGATGTTTACATGCTCAAATGGCTGACAGTATAGCTGCTATGTGAAGCACAATGACGAAAGTGCTATTGCATGAAACCTGCCTTGTTTGGATTTACTGTATGCTGAAGGTGAAAAGAACAGAAGCCAATTACAGCTGGAGTTCGAGACAAAAGCAGTGGTTCATCAGTCAAGCAAAACACAGATGGTTGTCTGACAGTTAATAAGCTAGTTGTTTATCCAGAACGTTTCAAGCGTTATTGTGAGTATCAGGCGTGTCAGTGTTTATGGATTATTATTTTTTTAATCATCACCTTCAGCATATTACAATGTTTGATTTGTGTCCATTGTGTACCATATTAAAAGGTTATTGTAACCTTAATTGTCCTCAGTTCTCATAATCATAAGTGTTTTCTCCGCCAGTGGTCGATAGATAGATAGACAGATGACGAAATTGTGGCAAATATATTTTATTATTGATTCGTCGAACTTCGACAGTTGCAGCACACCTGAAGACGATCCATGATTGTTAATCACCTCAACGCGGGTAGTTTCACTCTCTAGTATGACGTTTCCAACTCTAAAAACAAACGAGTCCCTGCTGACTCATCCTGAGGATGAACGACGTGAAGCGGAACAAGTATCCAGAAGAATGTATCTAAAGCCAACCCCTCGCCCCCATTAAGGTTGACCAAAACTTGGAACAACCCACGCATTTCCTTATTCTAGCCCTTCGCCCGGTGCTGACTTGTCGAACCTGTTGTACGACTCGCCCCGTCATCGCTTCCCACCTGATCAAATCTCTTACCGGAAGTGTGGGACGCACTTGTCACCTGAACCCACGACCGGGCAGGTTATTCAAGCCGTCGTCCATATCACACTAAACTACACGATATCAGATTAGCAGATATTGGCTGTTTTTGTTCAAGTGGATACACTTTTTGGAGCCATATTTCGGTGGGTTTTCAGACGACGGAGACGAAGTGAAACACACCGTGGAGAGAGCAGCGCAAATATGTTTTTCGCATGGTTGGTTTCGGCGCTCTTGTTCGCGTTCGCGGCTACAGGTGAGTTACAAAAGTAACTTGTTAACGTGACTTCGTCTTTTAATGGTTGAAATATTTATGTGATTGCCATCCTGAAGTATCTTCACGAATTACAGTACTTTAAAAATATCAACGTATTCAACGTTGAGGCAATTCACAAAATGGAGGCCTGCCTATTTCTTCTCAGGTGTGTTGAGGAAGTTAACAATGCCCACTGGTAGTAGTCTACATATCGGACTCAGTCTTTGTGGAATTAAATTATTTTATCATCTCAAACTTGAAATTGCCTGTGAATTCCAATAATGTGAGATGTATAGTTTCGTCACAACATTAAGGACGTCTGTGCCAAGTAAAGAGACTTCTACCTGAATTCATGTACAGCGTTGAACGATACTGAAAGCCATAAAGTAGTTATTAATTTACAAAATGTATTACAGTATTGTGATAAAGTGAGTCCAGTAATTGTCCTGTCATGTAGCGAGATAGTGAAAGAAAATCAATTAGAAACTGCTCTCTGTATGTTGCAGTGCAGTTTTAAGTCACTACTACACCCGCACCTAAAGTATTAAATTAATAGCTTCATGTTTCTGATTTAACAACTGATTCCCTTTCTTCAATGCACACTGATTTTTAAAATTTTCCAAATTTCCACTGCTGTTTGTTTGTGTGTGTGTGTGTGTGTGTGCGCGCGTGTGTGTGTGCGCGTGTGTGTGCGCGTGTGTGCGCGCGTGTGTGTGTGTGTGGGTGTGTGTGTGTGTGTGTGTGTGATTGTTCCTGTTCCAAGGTTATGATTTGACATCACACATTACCATGCCTTAAAGACATAGCTTGAGGGTATACTGTAAATTACTATCCCAGCGGATAGCGGGGTTCACTCTATTTCTGTTTCTTTGTAAGGTTTATTCTGTTATAATATCACTAACATCATTAACCCCTATATTTTGTATTTTTCTCAACAGGTGAAAGTAGCTTTTCAGTGACCACTTCTAATGCAAATGTGCAAGTAAAAGAAAATGAAGGTGAGTCTTTGTTTCCATTTTGTTGTTTTTTGAACACAATAGTCTAAAGAATGACCGTGTTATGTGTTGAGACCAGTGATGTCTGTTTTTCGAACAACGGGCAGTGCTTTAGATGGTGTTGCTTGCTTGTAATGATTTTTTTGGTTTTTGTTTTCGTTGTGTTTTCTTTATAAACACTTCTGGGGTATTGCTATTTTGGTAGCAATTTCCTTTTGTGTGTCTGTTTGATTTTTTTTTTTTTTTTTCCTGTTGGGCCTCTCTCCAGGGGCACAACAGAGTCAGCCCCTTCCTTGTTGTTCCTTGTTCCTTCTTGGGGATGCAGCTGACCATGCGATATTTTTTTGGGGGGGGGCGGAGGGGCAAGTTGTGATTGCGCTCTGCCACTCAACAAATGGCTGCACATTTAGATAGTGTTGTTGTTGTCTACAGTGGTGAAGCTTTCCAATCTAAAACAAGACGTGTTTTAAGACATCATTTTGGCCTTCTGTTGTTGTTGTTTTTTTTTTTTAAGGATCTGTAGCTTGTTATATTTGCTTAGTTGCAAGGTTTTTGTTTATAAAAACCTTTATTATGAAGTATTCATGTTTTTTTCCACATCTTCTATTTTAATTGCTTGTGCTTTCTACTATTGCAGGGGTTGACCTTACGTGCTCTTACTCGGCGGACTTTGGTTCAAGTGCCAGGGTGGAGTGGAAGTTCAAAGACCTTACAGGGTCACAGAAATATATCTATTATAATGGGAAACCCACAAGTAAGTTATTTGATACAAAATCTCTCCAAGGTCACTGTACCGGATATAGTTGATACATGTACATATTAGTTATGCTTTGTTGTAGCAGTCAGTTTCCCCAAAACACAGTTGTACTGTATCTTCAACTTTCCCACTCACCTCTGACGCCATCAGGAACCCACCACCGTTAATAAGTAACAAAGAAGCATGCTACAAGTCAAGCTGGCAATGGTATACATTGTGTTGTGGTTAATGGGCAACTTTTCTCACAGCACCGTATGCCAACCGTGTGACGATGTATGGCAGCAATCTGAGATTCAGCAAAGTGACCCGCGTGGATAACGGAGTATACGACTGTGAGGTGTCTGGTGTCAATAGCCAGTTTGGGGAGGCCAGAGTGAAGCTCACCGTTCTTGGTAAATATTTTCATGGGCATTTTTCCCTCTTTTTTTCCCATTCTCAAATACATTTCGCCCATGTTAGAGTTGGTAAAAAAAAATTGTTTTAACTTGTATTATATTTTGCCACAAAAGTGTCCAAATGCTGCCCTAAAATTTTAGTTTAGGGCCATATGAGACCCAGTAAGCACAACCAATTTATTCCACGGGGATAAATAAAGTTTTCTGAATCTGAATCTGAAAAATTCGTGTTTGCCAACTAGTGGTGAAGGATGATATTACAACTTAAAATTACAGTAGTGCATATTCAGATTTTTATTTATTTATATGTTTTTACATTTTATATATATTCTTCCCTTTTTTCTCTATTTTAAAAATAGATTTGGAGGTTTCCCTCTGATTTTTGTCTCTATGTACATCCTAATTTTCATATATTTTTGGGGTACACCACCACGTTGCAGTGGGTGAGTGAAGTTAAAAAAAAAACTACATTATTCCCACAGTGCCTCCGTCACCACCCTTGTGCAGGATCCCCACTTCAGTGACGACTGGCAAGAATGTCATCCTGTCCTGCCACGATAAAGATGGCTCCCCTCCACCTCAATACAAGTGGTACCGAGACAACATCCTTCTGCCACCTGAACCCAGCAAGATTTCCGGCTTCCAGAATAGTACCTACGTGCTGAACTCTGCAAATGGCAACTTGGTGAGCTACAGCGCTCTGCGCTCTCGACCAACTTTACTGCCAGCACCTCATTTTCAGATAGAACTCTTTTACAACCAAGCCATATGTCTTCTCAGGAGTTTCCCTATGTCAAAAAGACAGATATAGCTCAGTACTCCTGTGAGGCGTTCAACATTGCTGGTCCTCCACAGCGCTGTCGTGCTGTGAAAATGGAAGTCCGTAAGTGAAATATAATAACAACATTGAAACTGATCTTTTATACGTATGCGTGTTAAGCCTTATTTTTGTATAAATTAAGTTGTAAATTTTGATGGAATGATGAAAGTGAGAGCACCTCACACACACTGGACTGCTTTTGTATTCGTTCATGTGCTGTTGGATGAATACGATAATTTGTCATGTTAATTCAGTGAAATAACCTCAAAATGACTTTCTACTACAATCCTATTCTTTAAGGTGACATTAACACCGGAGGCATTGTTGCCGGGGTAATCGTGGCTCTGCTGTTGCTCGTCCTGCTCGCTCTGGGAATTTGGTATGCTCACAAGAAGGGATACCTGCCCCGTGAGTATACACCCGTGCATTCTTTTGCTTGTTAGACTGTATAGCACGTCACTGTCTTCTTCCTTGTTTGCAACAATTGTGTTATCACAAATAGAACATAGCACTGTATACACTCACATTAATCGAATTATAATTAAGAAGAGTAGTTTGTGTCACCAAAATGTTGTAATTGACCAACGGCTGACTTGATGTCCTTCCTTCCTTATTATTACAGGAATGAATGAAAGGTAAGGATTATTTTCTCATTTTACATTAGGCACAATAGATTCCATTAGGCCATTCATTCCCACAGTATCTACATTGCTGTGTAGGTTTCCCCCACAAGAGCATGAGTTTAAAATGGTTTTGTTTTTTAAATGTCTTGTAGCAAGCAAAAACCCAGTGTGGTCTACCAGCCACCTTCTGTGTATGGTGGTGAAGATGATGATGTAAGTGTAACACTGCCTGGCTTTTTCCACTACTCTTCATGTGTTCTATAAATGCCAGCAAATGTTGATCAATGTTTTTTTTTTTTCCCCTTTAGAGCGAGTTTAAGCAAAAGTCATCCTTTGTGGTATAGTCTACAAGAAACAGTCTTGGCTGGTTTTAGCGTGTGCCTTTACTGTTTGTACATGTCATCCTTGTAATTGTTTTTTTTTTTTTTTTAACATTTTATGATCCAAAGATTCCTCTCATACGTTTTTTTACAAGCCTGCTGTAAATATCGTATTTTTATTTGTGCTGTTGGTAAAATACTGGCCTTGGGTGTGACTGACTTTTTGTAATATTTTACATTAACATTGCATTGAAAATACTGTAAAATTTCTTCCAGAAATGAACTTGTTACATTTGTTCTCACATTCTGTTTGTCTTTGACTTCAGTTTGAGAACTATATTGGTTAAAATAATCCAAACAGGGTAGATGTACTGTATTTTTCCTAAACAGTGATTGAGCTTTATATGAAAAGCACAGCAATAGAGTTTGAGAGAGGTGTGTATTGTATTAATAATTTGTAACATATTAAACACCATTTTGTGTAGTCTTATCACAGCTATGACTTCTTCTTGAAGATAATTTTTACTTTCTGGTAGTTAATCCTCCAACAATGTTGCGCTTACAGGGTTGATATGGGCAGATGTTGGTATAGCAGTATGAATTGATACAATATCTGATTTGAATATTTATTTGTGCAACCTTGTAAGGTTTCGGCAGAGTTGGTGAGATTTTGAAGCTGATGAATTAACCGATGTAGCTTTTCAGTAAATAAATAAAATGTTTTTCAATGTGTGTTTGTCTGCTGATATGTCAACATAAGTGAGCTGTAATATCATTGCAATGTTCATTTCCAGCATCACAATGTTGAGTACTGAAAAAGAAAAAAAAATAGAATTAAAAAGAATTATTATCACGGTTCGTTCTTGTAACGTCACATATCTATATATGAGAGCGACCTCATAAAAAAAGCAAGTTTGCCTACATTTACCATGGCAACAGATGTTTTTGTATTTGCTCTCGTTTGCGCATGCGCATTGACGCCCACTTTTCTGAGACAGGAAGTGTGAACCACTCTTTCCACCATCCGCCCCCAGATCGGCTCTGCATCACACCACCTCAAACTGGTCAGAATAATAGCGCTTAGTTCTTCATCACATTGCTGTCATTCCCACAAGAGATCCACGGGTGTCCTACCCGCTATCTAACGCCTCGCTGGCGCTTTAACTTGAGGTGTCGCCGATTCTTGTCTACCAGGCAGATAGATCCTCTCTCTGTCCCTCCCCCCTCCGGGGGACAAGTCCGCGGTGGAAGGAACGAAGCTACCGTTTGAGTTGCATCTGATTTCTCATCCGGCGGACCGGATGCGAGAAGCGAGCTCGACCCCGACGTGCTCCGCTCCCCGGCCGGGGCCGGTAGCTTGCGACCACGGCTGGCCCAAACAGTCGAGGTGACTCGGCATGGCTGACCGGAGCTGCGAGCTCAGTGTTGGCTGCAACTAATTTACACCAAATGAGACTTTAGCTTCCCTGTTTTTTTAGGTGTAAAATATGCATGTCTTCTTTTTTTTTTTAATGAAATGAAATACGTCAGAGGAATGTCCTTACCGATGGAGCAGTGAATAATGGCAGCGAAAGAGGAACTCTACGCCAAAGTGACCCCGCGGAGACAGCGCCAGACCCGCGCAGGCACCGTCAAACATGGGTCAACTCTGGACGTGCTGCTGTCCATGGGCTTCCCTAAAACCAGGGCGTGAGTTCACTGCCCCACCACACACACACACACACACACACACACACACACACACACACACACACACACACACACACACACACACACACACACACTACTGTTCTGTACTCCCTCTTTTGATGTGGCGTTTAGACTTTGGCTTCACTTCTGCAGAAAGATGCTGTGTTGTGTGACCCAGATGTTATACTTGCTAGGATTCAGTGGATCCTGCTCAAATATTCAACCCCCCCCCCCTTCATCTTTGCGATGGATGCGTTGCCAAGAAACAAGCCCCGTATGAATGAAATATGGATGTTACATAATGATGTTAAAAAGCCCCATAAATGATGAAACTATTTTCCGCCGTACGGAACTGTGTTTTGTTTATTAGATATTGAAAATTGAGGGTGACTTTGTGCCGTGGTTTATTTTTTAAGTCATTGCACATCTACCATTCTGTGCATGTTGTCTTCCAAACACATCTCCAAAACATACGTTTTTCGTCAATTGAAGACTTCGATTTTCCATCGGGGTGAATATGAATGTGCATGGTTGTTTGTCTATGAGTGCCTTGCGATTGGAGACAAGTCCAGTGTGGTGTACCCCACCTTTTTGCTCAAAATGAGTTGGGATACTGTATACAACGCCACACGCTAAAAAAAAAAAAAAAATATATATATATAATTCGATAATATGCAAACCAATGCCCAGAATCGAACCCATGACCTCTGCAATGTGAGTTGAATGTGCTAAGCAGTATAATATGGTAATAATGTCCCCATTCCACCGAGAAGTACTCATCACTGTTGGCTTTTTTGAATGTTTCCAATGTTAAGGGTCCTGAAACATCCAACATTAAATTTATCCAATTTATTTATTTATTTGTTTCACTTTGAGACTGAGAGAGAGAGAGCATCTCGGCTGAGTTCAAATGATTTATTTAGACATTTGTGAATGTATTGTAATGTACAAGAGAAAAGTGGTACATTTTCTCATTTTGTGATCAGGAAACATATGTAATTAGAGCCTAGCTTTAGGGAACAAGACCTTCAGTGTTGGAGGGTTGCGAGTATGAAACGTAAATACACACACACACACACACACACACACACACACACACACACACACACACATGAACACGCGTGTACGACAATCGGCCCTTCTGTTAAATTGAGAGCAATCGTTGCTGAGTCATTCGGGAATTTACCGGTGCAATCCGATAGGTGCTGCCCAGTCAGCGGCACCTCCACTCACTGGTCATGTCCGATGTCCGGAAGCAAACTGATCCCGTTTCCATTTAATCACTCTCGTTTGCTTCTTATCCCTCTTCAAAAGTCTCTTGATCGCATTTTAATTAGAAATGAGAAAACGATGACGTCGCTTGTTTTGGTTGGATCACTACAAAATGTGGTAACTGGAAGTAAAGTCACACTCCATAAAATGTTACTTTATACTGTACTAGGGGTATCCCGTGCACATGTAGTACTTCTTAACACAGAATAATCCTCTTCCACTTGCCCGTTACCTATGTGTGCTGATTCTCATGTGGCCTTCAAGGGGGCAGTGTGGTGCACGCATGCAAAGAAACACATACATTTTATGGAGAGAGAGAGAGAGAGAGAGAGAGAGAGAGAGAGAGAGAGAGAGAGAGAGAGAGAGAGAGAGAGAGAGAGAGAGAGAGAGAGAGAGAGAGAGAGAGAGAGAGAGAGAGAGAGAGAGAGAGAGAGAGAGAGAGAGAGAGAGAGAGAGAGAGAGAGAGAGAGAGAGAGAGAGAGAGAGAGAGAGAGAGAGAGAGAGAGAGAGAGAGAGAGAGAGAGAGGAAAATAAAAGGCATGGACATATTTGTGTTTCCAAGCCGATCATGGATTTTGTCATCTGACCAGAGATAAAATGAGAATGGTCCGCTAGACAGATCTGCTAGCCGATACGGGTTGCTGTCACGTTTCTTTAATCTTTTTATGCACACAGAGGAAGTTGATGTGCGGGTTCTTGTGCTCTCAGTCTCAGAGTTCACGGAACCACAATAGTGCAGCATGTTACTGTATCTGACATTCACTCGCCACAATAACACAAAGTAGGTACTGTATACCTAAACTGACTGACGCTAGTATAAGGAGCGTCCCAGAAAAATCACATATTCTGCTCTGTATCAGATTAAGATGATATGAAGATGTTTTTAATATTTCCCTCTGTTCGGCAGGGATTAAACAGTGTAAAGGCCCTGCTCTGAAAATTTCTCACCGGTGATGGATCATTGGCATTTCCTAGAAATGTTGTTGAAACACTCATTATAAAACGTAAAACTTTATTAAGGCATTGAATAATGGTATTTGTCTCTTTTCATACCTCGTTATATCTTTGGTTTGAATTTTTGTGAGAAATTATTAACGTGATGAGTGTCTTCACATGTTTAAATCTCATTAATCATATCATGCAATTAAAGTTTTTTATTTTATTTTATTTTTTTAGCAAATCCTCAATGTCCTTATTTTAGAGAGATGTCATTGCCACATGTCACAGAGATATCTGATTTATAGTCACACATGAAAGAGGCCCAGGTCTGATTTGAAGACATTTGATTTGGACTGTTTCCAGTGTGTGAAAAAGAAAAAAAGAAAATCAGATGGTAATATAGACCAAGAAATTTTTTTTAAAAAAATGTAACTGATCTGCAATATGACCACAGTCGAAGTTAACAATTGTAAGTGAAATATATAATTAAACTGTCATATTAATTAGGGTTAATTTAAAAAGGATGTTGGGAAAAAAATAGCATATTAAATTCGCAATTGCAACATTGAGGGGGGGGGAAAAATCAGAGTTGGGTTATTTTTCAAACTTGTTCAGGCCTACATATAATATTGGTGGTGCTTTTTTGGTTGTTGGAACAGATGAATGGAATTTCAGTCCATTCAACGTAACTGTAATGGTACAGAATTTGCACATACATGAAGCACATTCCAGTGCAGGCATTTTTCATGAACAAACTGAGCTTGGATTCAAGGCGGCTAAGCGGAAGTCGCCCATTTCCTGAAGTGGCTTGTGACCTTTTTCTGCGCTCTCTGTTGAGATGGTGGTTTGAGGGCAGCTGATGCAGAGGTCGCAATGTCTCACATATACAAGAAAACACGACACTGAGCAGTAGTGCGGTACTGAAGAAAGATTGAAAATCCAGCCAACATACATTTCTGCTCCAAAACAAGACAATCGTTGAGGCGACAAACTTTGAATTTTTTTCCTCTTGATTCTATTTCGAGATTTAGATGATACACTCGATCGTTTCTTCCAAAATACCCGTCCGCGTAAGTTTCAACTCATGTCTAGCAAAGTGAGCTTGTCACACAAGAAGTTGGAACATAAAACAACATACTTCACCCACGCAGTTGGCCCACTCACTTCCTTTATTATGGAGTCTCTGACACGCTTTGTTATAACATGTGACTTTGAACGTCTTTGTTCCAGAAATAATGAAGCAGGAAAAACAGAATCAGTTCCAGACACTGACTATACACTACTGGGGTTTTTGGGAACGTGCCAAAAATAAGAGGCCATCAGTGTTTCTGACATCTAATTTCACACAGCAATAGTATCAAAACACTCAAACAATTACAAGCAAGCTTCTCTCACCGATACGGGGATAATTAGACTTTTTCGTCGGCACGTGAAAAGGGATAATATTTGTTGTTGTACTTCACTGTCGTTAAACGCCGCAAGAAACATCAATCGAAGACTCGTGTTTTCCTCGGCTGTTCCATGAGTACGTTCTGAAGTCTATGCAAATATTTTAACAAACACAATTCACTGTGAAGATTGCAATTAACATTTCTGTTGCTAAAGCTGACCTAATCATGACTGTTTGTCTCCAGATCTTGCCTTACGCTGCGTTTCATACATTTGTCGTGGCAAAAAAAACAAAACCAAAAACGCCCACACAACACTGCTTCCTCTGTTTCGTTTTACGGGGGTGGCAAGACCTCATCTGTACTGACTTGGGCTTCGGAAACAGAAGGTCACGGTTCAAGTCTTGCTGCAGATAAAAAAAAAAAGGCAACTCAAACCGAGGTCTCAATAGAATTGCTGACATCTAATGTGAAATCATGTGTGGTCAAGTTCAGAGAATCCCTTGAGTGAGTAGGCAAGTGATGATGCATCACGTTTTCTTTTAAATGCTATTTTACCGACGTAGACTGTATGTACACATTGTGGCATTGTGATTGATTAAGTTCGGTTGTATGGAAATGTTTTATGGTCCAGATTGCTTCAAAGTGTGACACGACGAGGGGTTTCCCGGCCTGTGTCATCCACACGTGACATTTTAATTATTCTTTTTTTTTTGTTAAATGCGGGAACTTCTTTGCCCAGCTTGGGTTATCGTGTTCCTCTTTGTTTTGTAAATGTTCATTTGCCTGTAGAGCTGAGCCATGGGGTTGTCCTTGGGTGCATCGAGTTTTTGCTCAACTTAATCGTGCCCATGTGGTGAAACTATTGAGAAATTTTAATCATTAGACCTCTGCAGTCCCCCAAGTTCTTATGACCCTTCGTATTATTGTGACTAGAAAAAAAAATTGGACAAATGCACGCTCTAAGTTAGAGCTGGACAATTATGGACAAAAACAAGAATCACTTTTATTTTGAATTGAGATTGAAATCACGATGATTAAAATGATTATTCATGGATTTCAAGACTTAGTATTTATGTCATGTGGAAATGAGTGTTGATGCAACAACAAGTCGTTGGATCTTTGTATCCTTGAATTTGGAGAAAAGGAACATTCCTTGAATCCTTCAAAACTCAACTTTAAATATAACTTGAATGGTTAAAGTGAAAATGAATTAGAAAGAAGGCAAATAAGAACATGCTACAATAATAGGAATCGAAAAATAAAAAAAAAACAAATGTGTGTGAATATTCGCTATTTGAAGAACTATCTCCTGAAGCTGATGCTAATTTTGCGCTAGCATTTGAAAGGCCACCTCTGTTTAGGCACTACACCATTCCGCAAGTTAACTGTTTTACTTCAATCATAACTCATAACTATCGAGGGAAGCCAAAATCGAAATCACGATTTTAAATTCGAGTAATCATCCAACCCAACTCAGAGTTGACAGTGATCATGTATGCAGCTATTGAGACCGTAGGTCCATGGCTGCTTCTACTTTGTGGAATACATAAAACTTAAAGCATCTCAGAAAAAAATATAGATTTGAGGGATGTGATTCATACTTGGAAAATGTGCTCAGGTTCTGTGACAAGTTAGCCTTCTGTTCTACTTTTCTCCCATGTCATTCGCTTTCATTCTAACGGAGCCTCCCCTCTGCTGGCCGCCTTTAAGAATGCCACTTGAAGGGAATCCGAGCTCGGGTTTCTCACTCTGTGTCACCGAGGGTTCATCCCTTGAAAATAACAGATAAGCAGGCCGCCCTGGGTTTCATCTAGGATTGGATCGTGTGATTTCTCAAGTCACAGCCGCTTGTAATCCTTTCATGCCCTCTTGAGAAAAATACTTTTCCATTCCTCCGGCACAGAACTAGGGGAAACTCATTTGTTTATTCTTTGATCGACTATGCGCTAAGCGATATGGTTGCATGCATGTTGTAGTCGAGCTGCGCAAGCTATCTTTTGTGCAGTCCCCATTGTGCACATTGGACTGAGTGAGGGCATGCTGCCCCAGGGTCTGTAAGCCGAATGAATCGAGGACCCTCTCAGTTGGACAAAAAATAAAAATAGCTTATTGAATGTGAATGCAGCACTGGCACAATGCAAATGCGTGACTTGATTAGACCATAATACCGCAGTGTCTTCATTTGACTTCCATCCCAACAGCAGATAGTGACCGTTTGTGTCTATTCAGAAGTGTGACAAACCGTATCTTGGGGTGACTAAGCACTTGATAAATGTGGCGATTTTATTTGCCGTTTACTAGAGCGAAGGGATTCTGTAGTTATTTGAAATATTTTGAATATAATCGAAAACATTGCATGCAAAATACTTCATGAGGATTAAAGAATGAGTCTTCATGATCTTGACAGGTTGGCTATGAGCTACAAAAATATTTTCAACATCGGAAACCAGCCGGAAAAATTTCTCTGTTCCGTCCAAATCAATCACTTTCGACTTTCCCTTTCGGTACACTTTCAGGAGCTCCTGGTATGAATTATTGAGTGTGTCTTGTCATGTTACTACTCTCTTAGGATGTGTGTTCTCTTTTCACTGTCCCATGGCGTGCAGCAATCTCCCTCTAATAAACATGGGCCGGAAGAGGATTTATTGATTTTGTGACTGTGTTTTTCTCTTGATCTTTGTATCTTTGCAGCTTGAAAGCTTTGGTTTCGACAGGAGGGAAAAACGTCCAGGCAGCTTGCGACTGGTGAGAACCACATGCACACACACACGGTGCCCCCGGCCCCCAGTTACTAATTTACTACTGGAATGTGAATAAAGCTCAGCAATAGTAAACAAATGGCTAGAGTGACACTGAGCTAGCATAGTCATAGTAGTTGTACCTGTATTTTCTAAAGCTTCTCTTGTGCCCTTGTGTGTGTGTGTGTGTGTGTGTGTGTGTGTGTGTGTGTGTGTGTGTGTGTGTGTGTGTGTGTGTGTGTGTGCGTGTGTGTGTGTCTCTCTCTCTCTCTCTCTCCAGGCTCTTTTCGCATGTGGACGACCCTTTCCTGGATGACCCTCTGCCCAGGGAATATGTGTTGTACCTGCGACCCAGTGGTCCACTGCTGCAGCAGCTCTCGGTTTTCTGGCAGCAATCTCGCCTCTCGTGCGGCAAAAACAAGGCACACAACATCTTTCCCCACATCACCCTCTGCCAGTTTTTCATGGTCAGTGTCAACTCACGCCTCTAGATGTGCTCAAATGGTGAAGGATTATGTAAGCATCAACATTTTGGATTGGTAGTAATGTTTTTGTTTTTGTGTGTGTTGTTGTTGTTGTTGTTGAGCAATACTGCATTAATTTGTAACTGAGGAAAAAAACAGTTTTTGTATTATTCTGCCTTTTCTGAAAGAGTGCGTAATAACAAAACATGCAACTGATTCACTCAATCAAGAAAATCTGCATGCGTTCATTCAGTGTTGATTTAAGATTTGATTCGAGTCCTGCTTTAATTCACCTTCCTGGATTGGATGGGTTTTGTTTTTGTCCACAACAGTGTGCCGATGCAAAGGTGGAGGCTCTGTCAGATGCCCTCCAAACCTGTGTGGCAAAGTGGAAAGGTCATATACCCATGCCCCTTCCACTGGAGCTGTACACTTCCTCCACCTTTATTGGGCTCTTTGTGGAGGAGCAAGTGGCGGAGGTGCTGAAGAGTTTTGCGGCCGATTTTGCAAAAGAAGCGGAAACTAAAGCAGGTTCATATTAGCGCAATAAATTCAAAGTCCAAACGTTGCATTTGTGTCATCAGTGCACACATTTTCTATGTCCAGATGTGCACGTTGAGCACCATAAGAAGCAACTCCATGTCACATTGGCATACCACTTCCAAGCCAGCCATCTTCCAGTCTTGGAAAAGTTGGCCAAAAACGTGGATGTGTCATCAGGCTGCGACTGGCTGGCTGTGCTCTTCTCCCGGGATATTCGCTTTGCTAATCATGAGGTAGCAATACATCCTCTCAAATACACGTGACGGTTCACTGTGGCCTTTCAGATGTTGTCTGAATTGTTATTATTCCCTTTTTTTCTCTTCGAGACACTGCAAGTCATGTATCCCTATGCGCCTCAAAATGATGACGAGCTTGAACTGGTGCCTGGAGACTTCATCTTCATGTCACCTATGGAGCAAAGTAGTGCCAGTGAGGGCTGGGTGTACGGGACGTCCCTAGGCACGGGGCTGTCCGGCCTGCTGCCTGAAAACTACGTCAACCGCGCCGATGAGTCTGACACCTGGGTTGTTCATGGGTAAGATTGAGATTGAGACTCTCGATCAAGGGATATCATAAATTGTTGTGAACTGAGGCCCCATGATGCCTTTCGAGACTGTTTTGTGATTAAGGGCCAGATAAATACACTTCACTTGACACCAGCATGCACGTACATGTCTGTTTCAGTCGGACCATTTCCTAACTTTTATTGCGCAAAGACACACATTTTGCATCCGTTAAATCTGTATGCACACCACCAAACAAAGATGTCACCGAAAGGGTGGATACACGGGTTAATTGTACCTTATTCCATTTAGTGAAAGCGCATTTAATTGTTCTGTGTCACCATAGGTTGCAGAGCGATTTGCAGTCGCCTGGTAGCAGACAAGCTAGCACAGTCCAGAGTTGTAGCCCTGCTAGCCCATGACCCCATTTGACAAAATATTAAAATGTGTTTTTTTTGTCCAATCCTCAGGTCTCATTCTGTTCTCAACTACCCCTCCTCGTCCACCGCTGGCACCACACTAGGCGGGTTACTGTTTGATGAACAGCACACCGAGAGTCTCCTTGACAGTCTGGTGGATCCTCCCAACCTCGGTAGCCTCGGTCCTCCCGTGCAGGTGCAGTACTTCTTTATTGTCTGTGTTGTACAAACCTCACACGTCTCACCTCATACACTGCAGATACGCTGCATGGGCACCTCTTAGTCACTAAATTATTTTTGACAATTCCGCAGTCCTTTTTAGACACTGCGGGAAGGCATTTTTCTGTTCCCGAGCACTTTCTGTCAGACAGAGAGGCATCCCCTTGCATTTTCTTGCCTTCCTTGTTCCAGGTGACACGGACACCCGGTCAGTCCTCTTTGTCCAAGATGAGATTGTTTGTGTGTCGACATGGGGAGAGGATGGATGTTGTGTTTGGGAAACACTGGGTAACTCAGTGCTTTGACGCCAAAGGTGAGCATGCAGGGCGAACCAACCACTTGTTTGCTTCCATCTCGTTACAACTAACTAACCGTAGAGTCTTCTATGTGTAGGCAGATACATTCGCTCAAATCTCAACATGCCATCCAGCCTGCCACCCAGGAGCGGCGGTCATAGGGATTATGATAAAGATTGTCCAATTACTGTGTTTGGCTCCTCGCAAGCCCGTCTTGTAGGTTGGTTCTGTTTTGGAAAAAAAAAAAGGGACTGTTCCACGCAAAGTGCCATTTTCCCCATGATATTTCCTGCAGATATAATCACCGTGTTGTTGCTCTGTCCCAGGTGAAGCCTTGTTGGAAAGCCACACCACAATAGACTTTGTTTATTGCTCTCCTTCGCTTCGCTGCGTCCAGACCGCTCAACACATTGTGCAGGGTAGGACCCCTCAAATACTCACATACTAAATTTGAACGTGACCCTAAATGAACTCTGACCAAATAAATAAATGCAAGAGACTGTATAGTGCACAGGCGATACAAAGCAGAACCTGAGGGAAGTCTCCTCTGACAGTTTAAATGTTGGTTTATATGTTTCAGGTCTCCAACAGGAGGGAAAGACCAAAATCCGTGTGGAGCCTGGACTTTTTGAATGGACTAAGTGGGTTTCAGGCACCTGTTTACCCACCTGGATCCCCCCAACAGAGCTGGCTGCTGCTAACTTGAGTGTGGACACAACATACAGGTATGCAGCCTATATTCTGACAGTTTGTGTATCATTTGTTCATTAGTTTTTCAAAACAAACAGAAGCTAAAAAAAATACAAGTAATGACTTGTTTTCTCAATAAGAAAAAGTGGAAATTTACTCTTTTGCCAATTTCCAATTTTGCGAACATATCCGCGTCTGTATGTATAAAAGGAAGTTTGATTGATTTGCATAATTTCCCATTTCAAATGCTAGTTACATGGCCCAAAATTGCCTGAAACAGCACCATTGAACTCACCTTTTGTCAAGCACTGTAATTGTAATGATGTTAGTTTTAAAATATAGTGCAGTAAGATTTCAATAAAGGTGGACTTGAAGAATGACAATGACTGTGACTTACCGCGATTAAGGTGAAAGATCTGTTCCAGTTCAAGTTCCCTTCCGGTTCATGCAACTTGTGGCAGATGAAAATATCAGAATTGAAAAAAAAACATCAAAATCATTTCTTTTAAAACACATTTTTCATTGCCTGAAATTGGAAAACGAATCCTTTTCCTTTTTTCATTCCGTTTTTTTTTTTCTCCTTTGGCACGAATATTGCGTTAACCAATCATTATTTCATTTTTTAGTTTGTTTTGTTTCGAAAAACAAATGAATGAATGATACATGAATTTCTGTCCTTAACGTATTAACATATGCCCTTAACATATTCTGTATGTCCTTCGTCTTCAGACCTCACGTTCCCGTTAACAAGCTAGTCGTATCCGAGTCTTATGACACCTACATCAGCCGGAGCTTCCAAGTGACTCGAGAAATCCTATCAGAGTGCAAAAATATAGGTTAGTGGACTCTTGGTCTCAGTCTTTTACCAAATTGTCAATTTTCAGACAGTCACTATCAGCTTTGCTACTGTGCTTTGTCGTCATGAATATTGCAAGTGCTGAAAATTGTATGATGAATTAACGAGTGTCATTTTACAGCAAAAAAAGTGATGTTGTCAGTGGAATTTGGTTCTTCTACCTCTTTCACACAGGAAACAAGGTCTTGATTGTGGCCCATGCTTCCTCTCTGGAGGCCTGCACTCGCCAGATCCAAGGACTCAGCCCACAAAACTCCAAGGACTTTGTGCAAGTAGTGCGAAAGGTCGGCCAGATGCTGGTTACATCACATCGTATAAAATGTCTTCTTGTTTTCCCTCAATAACACAGGGTTGCATCTGCTCTGTGCATTTCTACAGATTCCCTACTTGGGATTTTGTGCTTGTGAAGAAATGGGCGAGACGGGGGTGTGGCAGCTGGTTGACCCCCCCATCTTGCCTTTGACACATGGACCCAATCACAGCTTCAACTGGAGGGAAATGCTAATGCCAGACTGAAGATTACCACACATTTCCTTTAACGTCGCAAACTGCAAAATCTATATTTATTTTTTACCCACAGTGCTACCAAAAAATGAACAAACACGCCTGGCTTCCATGAACTGCATCTTGTCAAAAACATCCTTTTTGGGGGGGCAAATGTATTGATATGCACAGCTCAGGAATGTGATGATAACAGCAAACTGTAGCTAGACTCATGTCTTTGTATTCTCTCACCCATGTATACACTGTGACAAGAATTATATGAGAGGCTACATGAATACATTTCAGAAAGTATTATTTGACTTGTGGCTACAACTTTGCTGAGGAAGAAGCACAAAAGGAATGCTTGCAGGGAGGAAATTATCATTGTTTTTAAGGTGGAAACGGGTTGTTTCTTGTATCTGATTTTATTCCAGTAAATGTCATACTGTATCATTTGCCCTTCTGTTCCACCTACGACTTCTTCCTGTTGTTGTTGTTATTATTATTATTATTATTATTATTATTATAAGATATCCTTTATTTGTCCCACTTGTTGTTATTATTATTATTATTATTATTATTATGTGGACCCAAAGCAGTTTTGATAACCCCCACTGGAACTTAATGTGTAAATTAACGTCTTTCAAATTTGTTTTGTCTTCAGCTGTTGCTGCAGTGTAATGCTTTTTTTGAAAATATTTTGTTTTTTCATCCACTTTTGTCACATTTCACTTAATTGTACATTTCGAGAGGTCAAAAAAAAGTTTTATAAATCCTAATATCCCATTGCGCTTGCAAATGAATAAAGATGGTGGAGTAACTATTTCTGAACGTGTTGTCTTACTGCTATTTGAATGTCGCAGTTCGTTTTCTCGTCACTTACAGCTGTGCCAGCCACTGAAAAAACAGCATTGGATTCGGAAACTTTCAATGGAACTGGAAATGGAAGAACTTTCAATCTTGTACTGTTACGTTCAACTGTCTTCGTTTGTTTTGACTTTTACAGCTTCGACGTCTGAAGAAAGGGAGACGAAAATGACGCTAATTAGCTTTTTGGCATTTAGCAATTACGCGAGCAGATATACTAACAAGTCGAGACGCGTTGTTGTCAAACAGGGTTGATTCCAAGTTTATTTTGCAACCGTCGAGAGTTGCAACACAGTTTTTGATAGTGTTTATTTTTAAAGGAGCTAACTTGTGAGGGTAATTACAGTACCACGTCGCAGGTGGAGGTGGCACTTGAAAATGGACAACCATCCTCAAAATGTTGGTCAGCTCGGGTAAGACAAACATGAAGTAATTTTTCAGTTGTCTTTGCGCAGCAGGTTATTAAAATAATTAAATCATTTATTTTTTGGAAGCTACATTTGGAAGAGTGGGCAGTTTGGCACTAGATGGCGCTCGATCCTGGTGTTCCCAGGTGGACTAACGGGCTCTCTGGAGACGTGGATCAGAGGTAACTGCATAACACTTTACAATCAACCTTTTTTTTTTTTTTGCCAAATTAATGCCGCCTTCTGCATTTTTTTTCTGTTAAATGTTTTGATGGAATAGGATAACATTCACAATCCAGTAGTTTTTTGCTGTGATTGAATGTTCTTTGGAGTGCTTTGTCGTGGTGAACAACAACAGAGAAGACAAGAATGTCTCTATGTTAGGCCTCAACGTAAATACAATCAACGAAAATGCTGTAAAAGATAAATCACAAAAAACAAACAAAAAAAAATTGTTTATGTAGGTATACACACTGTGTACACAAATGTATTGAACATAAAACTGAATCAAAGTTGTTCTTCACTGTTTAAAAACGAATACATTTTAAAAATTAACTGCCAATATTTTGTGTTTAAAAGTTAAATACAACTGAACTGTACTTAAAAATGTTCTGTACTTGAAAAAATGTGTTGACTACTAAATGTAAAAAAAGACCACCAGATTTTAAAAAAGTTTTACATTTTGTAGATCGTATTTGTGATTTAGTTCATTGCGTACCAACAGCATGTGCCACTAGTGATTATACCACACCTTGAGAATCATTGCCATATACAGCACATATCTTGTGAAATATGGATACGCATACAAAAACATACACTGAATAATCAGTATATTTCTTGTTGCTTATCTGACATTTCCTTATACCTGCACTATGTTTTGATGTTCAGGTTTTTACCAGCAGAGGACAG